CAGGATGGCCATTTTGACAATATTAATTCTTCCTAGCCAAGAGCATGGGATGAGTTTCCATTTTTTAGTGTCCTCTTTAATTTATCTTAAGGGTGGCTTGTAGTTTTCAGGGTATAGGTCTTTCACTTCCTTGGTTAGGTTTATTCCTAGGTATTTTATTCTTTTTGATGCAATTGTGAATGGAATTGTTTTCCTGATTTCTCTTTCTGCTAGTTCATTGTTAGTGTGTAGGAAAATAACAGATTTCTGTGTATTAATTTTGTATCATGCAACTTCCAATATTGTATCCTGCTGAATTCCAATATTAGTTCTAATAGTTTTGCAGTGGAGTCTTTAGGGTTTTTTGTGTACAATATCATGTCATCTGCAAATAGTGACAGTTTGACTTCTTCTTTACCAATCTGGATGCCTTGTATTTCTTTGTTTTGTCTAATTGCCATGGCCAGGACCTCCAGTACTATGTTGAATAACAGTGGGGAGAGTGGGCATCCCTGTCTTGTTCCCTATCTTAGAGGAAAAGCTTTCAGCTTCTCACTGTTAAATGTGATGTTAGCTGTGGATTTGTCATATATGGCCTTTATTATGTTGCGGTACTTGCCCTGTATACCCATTTTGTTGAGAGTTTTTATCATGAATGGATGTTGAATTTTGTCGAATGCTTTTTCAGCGTCTTAAGTACATTCATTTTTAAAACGTTTCAAATGAAAAATACTAAATACATAAATAGCAATATTAAAGTGTAGTAATATTAAAGTGCCTACTACATACCACTTCAAATCATTGCACACCAGTTCTAAAAAACACTGATGCAGTCAATACACAGTAGATGGCCCTGGGCCTAGGGGTGGGCAGAAGGTTCCCAGTGGCTATGCCCACCTGTAATCTCCTGTCATTACGTCCTTGCAGGTCAACATGTACATGTTATCACGTGTCATCTTTGCCCTGTGCCGCCTCAGCGTGGAGAAGGGCTACATTCCCAAGCCCAGGTGGCACCCATTTCCGTTGTTCACCGCGGTGGTGTGGGGGCTGGTGCTGTGGCTCTTCGAGTACCACAGCTGGACGCTGCAGCCCTCACTGCGGTCCTCCATGACCTACCTGTATGAAGACAGCAACGTGTGGCATGACATCTCAGACTTCCTCATCTACAACAAGAGCCATGCCTCGAAGTAATGTAGCCCTGAGGTGCTTACAGCAGCTTCTACGGCACGAAGACTCCAGGTGTTCAGCTGCGCCTCAAGATTGACTCCGTCAGTGAATCCTCCCAGAGGATTCTGCCTTCTCAAGATCACGGGTCTCAGACTCCAACTTTTATTACTCCAGGGTCCCCTTTGCCGAAGTAAAAGCACTGATTTTCACATCCCATTAGGTACTCTTGAATGGTAGAACAAGTGGCCGAATCAGACTGAGTCACCCTGGGCACGATCCCAGCTGCGCTGCTGACCTCCATGAGACCAGGGAAGGCCACACACCCCCACCCCAGGCCTTGGGGATCATCAGACTTAGAGGAAGGTCCTGAAGTTGCTTTCTGGTGGGTATGGAACTTTGACTCCTATGGAACAGAGGGCTCCTTGCTGGTGGGTGGTGGGTTACAAATATGCTTTTAAAAAATATTAAATTCCTTGCCTCAGGTGCTCTACTGGACTTGCTCTAGAGTTCCACTGTCCAACAGAAACCCAATGTGAGCTATGTATGTAATTGAAGTTTTCTGCTCACCACATTAAAAAAAAGGTAGCAAGAAGCAGATGAGATTAATCTTAATTATATACTTGAACCCAGCATTTCTAAAGTATTATCATTTCAACATGTAATTAATATAAAAAATTAGTAAGATATTTTACACCCTTTTTCTTGTCATCAAAATCAGGTGTGTGTTTTACACTCAGTTTGGACCACCCATATTTCAAGTGCTCAGTCACCATATGTGGCTAGTGGCTCCCGTGGTGAACAACATAGAACACTTCCATCATTGGGGAAAATTCTAGTGGACAGTGCAAATATAGAGCTAGCAGACATGGGTCTGAGTCCCCACTCCACTGTGTAGCCCTGGGGTGGGTTCTTAACCTCTCAGAGCCTCAGTTTCTTGTAAAATGAGGATAATCATAATACAAGGTGCCCACATTGGACTTATGTAAATACAACTGCCACTACTACTAATTACTTCCACTTAGTGAGCTCCTACTTCCTCCTGGGTGCTTTGCACATACTATTTTTAATCCATACAATGACCTTACAGGTGTGTATTTTTATCTGCATTTCACAGATGTGGAAACTGAGGACCAGAGTGGGGAAGTAACCTGCCCGAGGTAGTATGAAAGCCAAGTCAGAGTTGAACCCAGATCTATATGATTTCAAAGCTCATGTTTTTTTTCAGTGCCTTACCTTAAATTTAGAAACCTAAGCTTTGCTATGCAAATGTTAGCTGGTTATAGGATCTGTTCCAGGGAGGGGCGAAACTCAAATGTCTGGCAAGTGGCATAAATGAAGGTGTTCTGGGTGTTATGCAGCAGGGAGTGATGGTGACATGGTGAACTGGAGACTCGTGCCCATCTTGTTTTTTAAAACTACCATGCTGAAACGAATCAAACAGGTCTCCAGGAAGACTTGGTCCATGGACCACCAATTTGAGACCTTTGGTCTAGTAGGAATACTTCAGTCTCTTTTTATATGTCAGAAGTTGCTAGTAGAAATGTACACGTGAGTCAGTAGAGATCTCATTAAAATGTAGAGTCTCATTAAGAGCATTTGGGGTGTGGCTTGAGAGTCTGCATTGCTCACACACTGCCAGGTATGCTGCTGCTGGTCTGAGCCACACCCTGAGAAACAAGGTCATAGGGGATGAAATAGGGCCAATATGATCCCATGTGACAAACGAGGAAACTGAGTCACAGAGCTGTTAGGTAATTGAGGTGAGATTATATCCTATTCTAACAACAGTGTTCTCAGCCATGATGTTGTACTACAAGCATGGGGAAGATGATCTTGAAGGTCTCTTAATTCAGTCTGTAGAGGCTGAATGAGATTCCAAGATTATGGGGATGGGAGAGAGTGGCCATCAGCAACCAAGTTTTATAACAGATGCTGTGGGTGCCCCACCACATCCCGTCAGGCTTGCTGCCTCAGTGCCCACCAGCTGACTTTTCCAGCTGCCGCCCCTGTGTCTTTCTGCCTGAAGGCTCTCGCCTGCCAGTGGTGCCTGCCCTGCCACCCCACAGCAGGCCTGCAGTGCCAGAGGATCAACACCTCCCAAAGGCAGCCCTCAACCAATGACTGATGAATACCCCACACCCGTAGCCCTCACTCGACTATCCCTGGGAAGGATAACTCTGCAATAACTCTGCCCACACTGGCTCCCAGAGTGCCCCAGCAGGACCAAGCTCCTGCTTGATTACACCACCTTCCCTGTCTCCCTACCAGTGCTTCCCAAGGGGCCACTTCTCATGTAAACCGCTTGCACTCAATCCTTGTCTTGGGGTCCCTGTTGGGGAGACCCAAACTAAAACTGGCCTCTGGTACAGCAGTTTGAGAGGCATTGTAGCATGGTGGTTAGGGACATAGGTTTTAGAGCCAGAATGCCTGGGCTCAGCCCTGTTTTCTTGGGCAAGTGACTTAACCATTTTGTGCCCCTGTTTCCTAATCTATGAAATAGACATTCTAATAGCACACACCTTATAGGGTGGTCTGGGCAATCAAATGATAGGACGCATATAAAGTAAGCACTCAATAAATGTTTGCTGTTATTTCTAATACAGCATCCAAACATAGGAGGAAGTGTGGTCCTAAGAAGGAGTACACCCTGTTTTTAGCCTGTCCTACCCTACCCAAAGCCTTGGCTGCCTGCTTTCCCTACATCCCCTCACTGCTGTTGGGAGTTGGCTGGCTCCACCACCGACTGTCTCTGCTCTCTAAGAATAGGTTTCCCTCACAGATGGCATCTTTCTGCATCCTGCCAGAGCATCTGGTCCTCCAGCTGCTCACTCCAGGGAGGAAGGCAGTGTGGTCCTTGCTGAGGAGCAGAGCTTTGGCTTCCAGCAGACCTGGGAGGGTCCCCACACCGCTCCCTCCTAGCTCAGCCTCCATTTCCTAAGATCTGTGCAGCAGGCATCGCCAAAGGGCCCTTTATAGGCACTCCATAAAAGCCAGGTCCTGAAATACCGCAGCAGCTCAATATGTGTTTGCTAAACATCAGCTACATTCTTATGAAGTCTTCTGACATGCAGGACTGTAAAACATTATTTTTTAATCGATAATACATACACATAGTACAAAACTTAAGTGGTGCAAATGGTGTATAAGGGGGGAAAGTGTGGTTCCCTCCTAAACCCAAGCTCCATTCTCAACTCCCTCCCTTGCCAGGGGCACTCACTGTTAGCACTTTCTAGCTCAGCCTTCTTGAGATACTCTATGGACAGACTCCTGTATTTGTCTTAGGAGAAATTTTTATATTGTACTATCATCTCAACAGCTCTGGCATTTCTTACTTGTCCTCTGCGTGTTTGGTTTCTCTTTGATCAATAATCTGATATGAGACTGAGTCCTTGTTTGGGCTTGTTCCCCACCCCCAAGCCCTCCACTCTGCCCTCCGAATATCTTGAGCAGGTCCTTACTGTGATCAGCATGAAGTGGACCACTCTAGATACCCTGAACCTTAAATAGATGACACCAAACATTCAGCCCACGGAGCTCCAAGTGAAAGGGGAAGGACAAAACAAGTTGATTTGGGGCCCTTCGGCTGTTCCCTCCCAAATTAGAGATGGCTCGGTGAACCCATGTGAGAATGATGATTCACAGGCTGAGACGCCAGGAACTACCTCCCATGATGCTTGCCGCTCCTGCCTTCCACATCGCAGGCCCCAGAAAGGATCCTGGGGATAGCGTTTGTTTCTACATTGTTCTTTTCTCCATGAGTGTGTTTTGGGTTTAAAGAATCGGGTTTTCAACCTGACACCCTCCTAAACCAGAACATTGTGCTTCACTCCACCTTGGGGCAAACCTCATGTCGCTTACCTTCCATGACTTCAGATGGGTTGTTTTCTTTAAATAATTAGAGGATATTTATAAAAGAAACATTTTTCTCCTCCCCTTGTCTTGTTCCAGATTCATAAGGAGAGAGTGTGCCTTGAAGAGCATTTTGAGTGAGAGGATTTTACTTTTGACCAGAAGGTCTCCTACAGGACTCATTCTTGTGAGCTGGAAGGCCCCAGGGGCCCAGTGGAAGACAGTGGGAAAGACAGGCTCTCTTCTGAGTATTTTTTAGGGATGGCTTCCTACTGGGGGGCTCTCTGTAGCAGGTGTCTGTGCGCAAAGTTTGTGTAGATGTCATGATTTCATAAACAAGACAGGCCTAGGCAGAATTGAAAATGTAATTCATGGAGTCTCTGTTGGGAGCTTTGTTCTTACTGTTGTCCTGGCTTCTCCCTTCAGCTTCTCCTCGTGGGCTGGACGTCTGCTGAGAGAAGGAGCAGGGCCAGACCATATAAGCTCTTGTAGGACAGTCCTTTTTAGGGTGTCTTTTTTATGGATGTCATGAACCCCTTTGGCATCTGATGAATTCTGTGGATCCTTCTCAGAATGCTCTTTTTCAAGCTCATAAAACATACATAGGGTTACAAGACACAACAATTATGTTGAATATTGAAATAATTATCAAAATGTCTTTAAAATTCATGATTTTGTAATTATGTTCTTTTTTTAATACATTAAATAACTAGCTCTAGTGGCAGGTCTGAAACCACGCAGTTCCACAGGTACAAGAAGTATAAACAGTATCTCAGGATACCTGCAGCAGCTGCGAGAAGATACGGAAATAGCCATGATTTCTACTGGCAATAAACCCTAGGTGCTACTAATAGGCCTCTGGTTTATTGACTATACTTAGAATTCAAGGAAATGTTACATTTCAGTCAGAAGTTAATGAAAATATAGTGTTGTTTTTTTTCCTGTCCCAAGTTCATGACACTTGGGTTCATGAATCAAAGATTCAGGACTCCTGCTCGAGAGTGACCTTCCACATGGCAGCTGTCATTGTTTACCAAGCACTGAGCATGAGAATAGTAAAAATAATGGCTAATGTTGGCTGAGTCCTTATGAAGTACTAAGTAAGTACCCAGTGATTTTGGAGGCTAGGATTCAGTAGTGAAAGAAGCCAGTTCCTGCCTATCTAGGGCTTTCAATCTAGGCAGGGAAGACTGACAAATGAAATCAAAGATCATTTCAGAGAGCAGTGGGCACTATGAAGTCAACAGTACAGTGCAGTGTAATAGAGTGACTTGGAAGGGGAGAACAGAAGGGTCTGGTTTCCAGGGAATGCTTCTAAGGAGGTGATGTTTGCTCTGAGGCCCACGATGAGGAAGAGCCGTGCAAAGATAGAGAGGAAGGGTGTTCCCGGCATAGGATGTGCAAAGTGTACAGGCCCAGAGGAGGGAACCAGCTGAAGGCCTTCCAGTGCCTGGCAGGAGGCCCATGTGGCTGGAACAGAGTGCAGGGTGGGGGCTCATTAGCACGTTGGAGACGGAGTCTGAGAGGCTGGCTGGGCCCATCAGGCAGGCTTTGTGGGCCAGAGGAAGGAGTTTGGGTTTTCTTTTAAGTGTGACAGGCAGCCTTTGGCAGGTTTAAGCAGGCAGTGATGTGATTTAATTTACACTTTGGAAAAGATCCTTCCAGCTATGTGCAGAGAAGGTAGGGGGCCAGGCTGACAGCAAGGGCCCAGGAAGGAGGCCACGCGGTGGTCCGGCTGAGCAGGGTGGGGCCATGAGGAAGGGAGAAGCCGGCAGATGTGGGATGCAGTTTGGAGAGAAACTTAGTGGGGTTGAGAGAGTCATGTGTAGCAAATGATCCCCATGTTCTCCTTAAGCCTTGCTCCCCGATCTGAGAAACGGGACCTGACCTTGCTCCCTCATTGCCTCTTCTGCCCCCCCACCCCGACAGCCCATCAAGGCCCCTCTGGGGCCAGCCACCCGCCCACAGGGGCCCTGGCATGTGGGCTTCCCAGCTGGCCCCAATTGTTGTTACTCCCCAGGGAGTCATGGGAACACACTCCCCCTGCCCCCTCTACCCCCCTCTTCCCAGACAGGGCCAGGCCCTAACAATGCCCCCTCAGCCCGCCAGTGGCCTGGATACAATGCCCCTGTTTCAGTTGGTTTCCTGGCCTGCTCAGCATATATGTAACTCTGGCCTCCAGCAGGGATGTTGTTGTTAAAAAAAAAAAAAAAAGATCCCTGGCTCCTCCTCTCTGAATATCTTAATATATTATAAAGAGCCTTTCTCTTCCCATACTGAGCCCTCCCTACTCCCCTCCCTCATCTAATTTGCCATGTGCCTGTCAGCCTGGGGCCAATGCAGGTCAGCAGGTGTCTGCGAGAAAACGAGAGAAAAAGCTGCTCACTCCACCATGGCCAACCCCTGTGCTGGGGATGCTGAACAGCAGGACGATAATCTGAGGGCTTATGACATTGCAGGCGCTGTACCTGGCACATGTTGTATATCATATCTCAAACTTGTACGGCACCATGAAAGATGAAGTACAACATGTTTTGAGCCTCTAAGAAAGAAAAGAGCTTTGACTGAAAATGGACATGCCATCGATTGTACCATGCACCTCAATTTTAGAGATGTTAAAGTAGGAAAAAAAAATTTCTTAGTATCAATGGAATTAACCGTCTCATCTACATATTTCATTGCCCTCCAAACATATTTTTCTCCTTGTCTCTCTGCCTACCTGTGCCAGGTGGAGTTTGGGAAGCAGCAAAGATTGCTTCATGAAAACTGCAGCCTAACAAGAACAGTTTTTCTTGTCTTCTTTGGAAAAGTCGAGAGATGTAGGCAAACTGCTTCAGTAATTCATCTTTCATTCATAATAACAGCTGGCATTTATTGAGTACTCTCTATGTGCCAGGTACTGTCTTAAGCCCTAAACTCAGTGTCCCCACAATCCTATCAGGCAGACACTATTATTATCATTATTATTTTTATCCTCATTTTCAGATGAAAAACAGCCCTTCTGCTCTCAGGGCCCCCTACTAACTCGCTGTGGCCATGGTCAGGGCAAGCCCAGCCACCATGCCTGCTTTCCTCCTCTCCCTGGAAGAATAAAGCCCCTCCTGAGTTGTTCGGATGATGCAGAGAAAGGAGTTGCCCTGGGCAAGCAGTAGAGAGGAGGTTCCCAGAGTATGAGCTCCGGGAGTAATGGGGTTTGGAGGAAGGGAGGTTCGGTTATCAACCTGAGACCTATCCACTTACATTACACTCTGGACCCTTTGGCCCACTCCCCACTGAACATATGGACCGACCGAGGACCAGGGACTTGGCCATGGCCGCATGGCCAGACAGCTGTTGGCTGGCACTAAGCCCCATATCTCCTGTTTCACCACGAGTACCCACTTTTCCTACTCTTCCATGTCTCTTTAGTGTAGTTACCTGTAAACCAGAGGGACTACATGGGTACAGGTTGATACCTTAGCAGTAATCATATCACTACTAGTAGTTTATATTTATGGGGTGCTTTACTCTTTCCCTGGCACAGGCATCAGGGGTTGCAAACTCAGATACCTGGAATGGCAGGACAAGTAAGGTCACTGAGTGAGACAAGTCAGGCAGGGGTATGATGGCCTGGCAGGTCAAGGCTCCAGCTAAATGGGGGAGAGCAACTGCTCAGCACCTTGATGGCCTGGCTAGTATTGCCAGACAGGACCATTTTAAAAGAAAGCCAGAAACTTGAATTTTTATATAGCATTTTTCAATTAGAAAAGCCTCAGAATTAATTCATAATGCAGAAAAAATTCTGTGGGTACATTAAGTCACACCTGTGGATCATCTTAAAAACTCTGCTTGTCTTTTTTTTTTTTTTTCATTCCACCCTGAGACCCAGCCTTGCCCCTTGTTCTACAGATGGGGCAAGCACAGTTCTTCAAGAATGAATGACTTACTCAAGGTCATCTAGCCAAGCCACATGGTTGGGGTCTGCCTGGCTCATAGGGCTTTTTCCTATGGTTGACAGCCTCTCAGATGGATAAGAGGCCTGTGTTCACACCCAGCCAGAACTGGCACAGGGACAGAACATCTCGAGGGACAGTAAACTGTCAATGCAACAATTCAGTGTAGCAACAAGGATCATTCAAGACAAACATGATGTTGCAGATAGAAAACAACCTACCTCCCTCTGCTAGAACTCAACAATGGATGTCTCTGTGCCTCTTAATAAAATTAAGTCACCACAGAATCATTTCTCCCAATTATGCACCTATTATAGTGATGGGAAATACATATTTGGAGATTATTTTTTTAAGCTAAGAATGTATGTTTAGCAGTGGGGAGGTATGTGGAATAAATAGCTTTAAATTATTTGTGTCACTTGTCAACTTCTTAACGAGCATATTGTGCAGGTATGTGGAGATAACTGAGACTCTCCCACTGGATTATGAGTTCAGGGTATCAGAGATGGGTCTGTTTTTCTTCCGGCTGTATCCCCAGCACCTAGCATAATGTCTGTTGCATAGTAGGTGCTCAATAAGTATCTGTGGATTGAATGAGTGAGGCCCACAGGAAGTGAATTGACTTGCCCTAGGTCACACAGTTCAAGGTTCCCATTTATATCCACCTGATTTAGAAGCTCACACTATCGCTTCTACACCATTCTGCCTCTTGGAAAGAATGGAGGAAAAGGTGTCTTCAGACCAAGATCATGGGCCCTGGAGCTTCTACCCCTTTGGACTCCTCTAGAATAAGGAGTTGGTAGAGGTGGTGATGGGGTTGAGTATCTCCTAATTAAACCACTATCCACTATAATACCTTTTGCAAATCACACATTATAACCTTGACAGCTCTGAGCCTGCTTCTTGGGGCATTTACAGAGGGTGGTGAGGTATAAAGGGCAGGCCTTGGGTTTTGCAGTAAACAGGCTAAGAACAGGCTAACTTAGCCTCAGTTCCCATCTCAGTTCTTCGTGACCTTGAACCGCAAGTGCCTCTCTCTGAGCTGCCTTCCTGCACCGTGTGAATAGACAAGCTTCACTTACAGGATTATAGGGCTGAAAGGAGACCATCAATGGAAGTGGCTACCCAGTAATTGTGGGTTTTTTGGAAGCCTACCAGCCTGAGGAGAGCTGTTGACATTGAGAACAGCCTTATCAGGATCTACCAGGCTTGAGGCCAAGGGGCCCCATCTTTGAGGCCTTTGCTGCTTTCAAGTGGGTATTAATAGATACAGAAAGCCCTTATCTCTTCCTTGATTTCACTCCGGGAGTTCTGGTCTACACTCCTTTCTGCTGCAGCAGGACGAGAGGAATTGTAGGAAGGAAGGTAACTGCTTCTATGTGGGAGGTTGCGTACTTGAATACTTGGGGGAGGACAGGACTTCAGAGAAGCCCTGGCTTTGACCTCCCCAAGCTGGAATAGTAGCCTTTTCATCTGCTAGGTAAGCTCTTGCACTTAGGGCCTGTTCCCTCATGATAAAATGGGGCAATAATATCAATGTCTATCTTCCTTCTCTAGCAACCAGTATAGTACTTGGCACATGGCAGGTGCTCAATGGGTGTCTATTGAATGACAATTGGGTATGAGAGGGCTTTAAAAAGCGAATGTTTCTGTTACGGAGACCTTTTGGGAAGGTGTGGAGAAGGGAAATGCCATCTGGAATGGGAATGTTGCTGGCTTCTCACACCCACTGTCAGGGTCTTGCTTGGTTATTTTGGATGAGACCTACCATTTTCATACTGGCAGCTTCTCTGGGGAGGAGCTAGGGCACAGGCTGACCCCAGGGCTGGGAATCCAGCGTAGGCCAGAATCTATCACTGGTTGGTTTCACAGGTTCCTGCTCCTGAATGGGCCTCAAGTTCCCTGTGTATACACAGCAAGAGCCTTCCATAGTCTCCACGGCCCCTTCTAGTGCTGACACAGTCTAGGATTTGCCGTGAGTCATTTCACAAACTGCTTAGGAAGCTGGCTGATCTTCAAAACCACCTCATAGTTAATAAAACACTTTCAGATCCCTTATGTTTTTCATCATGGCAACCTGGAAGAGGCCAGGGCAATGTGCCCATTTTACAGATGAGGAAACTGAAGCTGAGAAGTGCCCTCAAGGGACTGTGATTTGAGGCTGCACCACACATTTTGGTTATACAGGTATACCAGTTCTCAAATGTGTACATGCATGAAAATCACCTGGAACTGGGAGGGGGGAGTGTTGCTTGTGAAAATGCAGATTCCTGGGCACTTAGGGATTCTAAATTGGCAAGGCTGGGGTGGGCCCATAGTGAACAGGTGCCTGGGTGATTCTGGAGTCAGGGGCCCAAGGACTGCTCTTGGAGAACCAGGGCCTCCTTGTTGCATTCTAAGAAGCCTTGGCATCAGCCTTGTGTCTTGCATAACCCTTCTCAGCACCTGCTGTGGGCAGGGTCAGTGCTGGGAGGAGGACCTATTGGAGCTCCCAGTCTGGTAGGGCAGGCAGAAGGAGAAACCGAGTGCGTGATCAGTGCTGAGCAGAGGCAGCATTGGGCAATGGAGGAAGCAAGTAACTACAACTCCAGGGGGCTCCCTGGAGGAAGTGATGTTTATACTGGGCCTACGGATTTGATTCTTGCTGTGTCTTAGCTAAAAAAAAAAAAGAAAAAAAATTTTTTTTTTTTTTTTAGTCATCCCCACCAGATGGCAGGGAAATTCATAGAAATTATCAAGTCTTTCACATCTCTGCCCTCAGTGCTGGCACAAGGCCTGGCACAGAGGAGGACAATATTGGCCAAATCAGCTGATCTGAGCAATGAGAAATGGCTGATGGAGAGGTTCCAGGGCCTTCAGATGATGCATTTTCATGCTCAGTTCCCTCATCTCCTCCCTTTGTGAAGTCTAACATAGAGTTACTTTAATGGTGGAAATTCATCATCATGTTGTAAACATACCTCTTTCCCCTCCTCCCCTTTTCACTAGATTTGTGAGCTCAAGGTCTGAACTAAGAGTGGAACACAGAGCAGGGTCACAAAACATTTGTGGAACGACTGAGTGAATGAATGAGTTCAACAGAAGCTGTGCATTGGCTATTAAAGAGATTCCAGCTAAAAGGGGACTTGGCCAGATGTCTCTCCTCATTTTCCTGGCAGCCCCTTTCTGCCTAGGCTCAGGGTGAGACGGGTAGGGGAGCGCAGGATTTTAAAGTGAAAAGCATTGCTGGGGCAAGTTGAAGGGAGATGTGGCTGGCGCTTGGAGGTGGGCCCTGAGAACCCAGAAAAGAAGAGCAGTTTCCAGAGCGCTGGGCTGAAGATGTGGGGACTACAGGTGTGTGACGGCGTCTGGGGGTCACGTGGGGCCTGCTGGCGGTGGGAGCTCCGTCCTAAAGGTTTCCAGAGGAATCAGCAGGATGGGGTGTGTCGGGGCGGGAGCCGGGCCACCACGCCTCGGACAGGGACTATCCCGGCTGGGGGCGGGGAGTGCAAATGAGCCTGGCTCCGCCCCGACAAAGCCTGCGCGCGCCCGGCTGCGCGATTGGCAGCGCCTCCGCCCCGTTCCGCCCTCCACCGCCGGACCGGCGCGCTGCAGCCAATGGACGCCGTCGCCGTAGCCTCCGTCACATCCCGGACAGCCAATGGTGGCAGCGCTCGGCGGCTCGTGGCTCTTTCGCGGCAAAAAGGATTTGGCGCGTAAAAGTGGCCGGGACTTTGCAGGCAGCGGCGGCCGGGGGCGGAGCGGGACCCGGAGCGGGATCAAGCCCTCGCCGCGGCCTGCCGCCATGGGCCCGCGCCGCCGCCGCCGCCTGCCACCCGGGCCGCGCGGCCCGTGAGCGTCATGGCCGTGGCCGGGGGCCCCGCGGGCGGCCCGTGCGCGCCGGCGCTGGAGGCCCTGCTTGGGGCCGGCGCGCTACAGCTGCTCGACTCCTCGCAGATCGTCATCATCTCCACGGCGCAGGACTCTAGCGCCCCGCCGGCCCCTGTCGGTCCCGCGGCGCCCGCTGCCGGCCCCCGCGACCCCGACCTGCTGCTCTTCGCCACGCCGCAGGCGCCCCGGCCCACACCCAGCGCGCCGCGCCCCGCGCTCGGCCGCCCGCCGGTACGGACATCAGGGGCACTGGGCCGAGTGCTCTGTTTGGACCCCCGCGCAGACCCGAGCGGGGCGCAGTTTTTGGCCCGGAGGCAGCGGGGGCGGGGGAGGGGTGTACTGAGGCGCCCGGGCTGGGCGGTGCCGAGCCTGGGTTGGGCCTCCGGGCCCCGCCCCAGGGTGCGGGGTGACCTCGGGCCAGTCCCTATTTGCTCCTCTGTGCTCTGGGCCTCCGCTTCCTCACCGGAGTTGCTGGATGGACAGACTCAGTGATAATAATGGCCCTTATGTATACAGTTGGTGTTGCCTGCATGCCAAATCTCTGGCGGACTTCAAACCAGCTAAAACTCCCAACAGTGCAGGGAGCCCGGTGTTGTCACTGCCCATCTGAACTGAGGCCCAGAGAGGGGAAGTGACTTGCCCCTGGTCACACGGCTACAAGTGGTGGGACTGGGAATTGAACTGAGGCCTTGTGGCTTCAGACCAGAACTGTGGCTGTGTAGTGGGCTCGACTGCTTCGGGAAGTGAAGGGGGGCATCCTGGGGCTACACCATTTGAAGAGCTGTTGAGGGGACCCTCCTTCCTGCCTCGATGCTCAACTGCCAGGTGCAGGCCTGGGCCTCTGGGGACAGGCCTCCTGGCTGGGAGGCCTTCTCTGCAGGGGCAGGGTGGCTGGGCCAGCTGCTGATCCCCTCCCTCTGCCTGTCCTTCCATCTGCCACCCTCCACCCTTCCAGGCCCTGGTTGCCATGGAACCTCATTAATCAGGCAGGCAGACCCCTGGGCCCCCATGGAAGTACTGGGTGGGCTCGGCCTGGGAGCTGGAGAGGAGGCCCCCAGTACCAGGAGAGAGTAAACTTACTAGCACTAAATAAAATGCTCCCGGAGCAGAAAGACTTTCAAGACCAGTTCAGACATGGGGGAGCGCGGCAGAGGAGGTGGCTGAATTACAGGGAGAGAAGGGTGTGGAAGCCTGGAGCTTGGCCCTGTGGGCTTCAGAATGGTGTTGGGGACCAGCTTGGTATAACCCACGGGTGAGGATGGCTTAGCAGGGGGACTTAGAGCAAGTGGGAGAGTACATGGCAAGGAGGTGGAAGGAGATAGAAGCTGCCCAACTGCTTACGGGGGTCTGGGTGGCAGCTGGTCCCTGAGACATCCCGGCAAGGCTCCCCAACCCCCTTGGCCCCATGCCCAGTAATGCCTTCCTTCCGAAAATCACTGAGATGCTAATAATAATAACAATGGCAGCCACCATTGTTTTGCGACTTTTATGTATCAGGCTCTGTGCCAAGCACTTTACCCAATTAAGTCCCATTTAACCCTCAACAATCTTCCCCTTTTATAGGTAGGGAAGCTGAGGCCTAGAGATGCTAGAACCTTCTCAGTCATTCAGCTAGTGAATGGTGGGAACCAGTCCAGATTTCCTGAGTGGTTAACTGTTGGGATGCCTTGCCTCCTGGAGATGCTACTAGAGGTTGAAAGAAGCCTGGGGCCCTTCCTCCTAATAAGTGGGGGATAGGTGGATTTTACCAGGGCTGAGACACGTGGCTTGTCTCCTATGCCCTATTGGCCTGTCCCTGCAGGTGTTAGAACCTGGACAAGTAGTATCTTCCATATAGCTGACAGTAGCTAGGGCTGTAGGTCCTGCCTTCAGGGAGCTGAGCTCTAGGCTCAGAGGGACTGTACCAATGAAATACCCTTCACCTCATCCGCAGTGGTGGCCTGGGCACCCTTAGTGAGACTGAGCATTCCATTCAACAGTTGTTGAGTTCTGTCAATACCTGGGAGGTACTGGACACAGAGGCAAGTAAGGAGCTTCTGCCCTCAGTACGTAAGGGTTAGTAGGCTTTTTCTGCTGGTGGGCAGGCCTGGGGGCTAACACCATCCTGGAGCTGAAGTCCAAAAACGTGGGCCCAGCTTTTGCCCTCCAACAGCACCTGACTTGTGCCTGGGGTGGCCACTGGCCACATGAGCTGTGGCCTCCACTGACCTGCACTGGCATTCACTTGTAGCAGTCCTTGAAACAAGCTGTAGGCTCATGTTTCTGCACCAGTGAGCATTTATGGAGCACCTCCAGCATCAAGGCTCTTGCAGTTCAGCCATTCCCCCTGGTCCATCCTGTCCACCTCTACCCTGTCATGGCTGTTAAAAAACACTAAATATAATACACATTTGCTATAAAAAAAAAAAAGAGACCCAAAAGTTGAAGGGGGCAGGATCCCAGCCCCATCCATTTTTCCTTCTGTTTTCCTAAGCCTGTTTTTTTTTAAATTATTAAGGTGATTATGATAGCTTTCTTTCTGAAGTTTTAGAAATTGTTTTTCCTTTATTTCTATGTTCAAACTGTGTTATCCACACTTTATCAATAAGACACTTCCCCACTGTCCTCCCCCATACAGAAGTTCCTCCTGAAATGGACTCTGTAGTAATAGAAAGTGAACCAGAGAAAAAAGGTTTCATGATCTTTTTAATCCAAAAAGGGATCATATAAATGCATTGCTTTATAACAATGTTTTTGTTGTCTTTGAGAAGATTTTGCCTCAGTCCTTGACAACTGTGGTATTCCGGGGGCTGAACGAACCACAGGTTTTGTGGCCCTTCTCCTATGGATGAGTTTTTGAGTTGCTCACATTTCACCAGTGTTCTGTGTGTTTTCACCCTGCCTTTGCAGGTCCCTGTGCCAGGATCTAGGGAGAGGCATTGACCTGCCTTCAGGGTGGGCAGGGGCCTCAGGAACATGGAGAAGTTAAGGGTGCAGTTTGCAGAAGCATGCTAAGGTTCAGGCCCCAGGGGCAAGGCTGGGAAGGGGATACATTCTGGTTGGCATATGGGGCCCTGCCTTCTGGACTAGGCTCTAGCAAGGCAAAATGCATGGATATGGGGGGCTCTGGGCCAGCCCATTAGGGTTCAAATCCAGGCTCCATCTCTCACTGTCTCTGATCTCTGAGGTGCAGGCTCCTTGGGAAATGGAGGTCATCATAGCACTTGTTGCAAGGTCTGATTGGAGGATTTGATGATCGAATGCAGGTGAAAGTGTTACTGGGCAGTGCTCAGTGCACAGGAAGCGTCCAGCACATCAGCTCTTCTATCCCTGGGGCGCCTGCAGGAAGCCATGAGTGTGAGCCGGAGGGAGCAGTCCATCAGCCTGTGGGGAACTTCATTCTGTGAATGTCTGTTAATGCCCAGCCCCAGTGTGTGCCCTTGGTTTTCTGGGTGAGACAAACATATTTGTGGTGAGAGACAGTATGGGGAAAGGCTGAGTTTGAGGTCTTTTAGAGGGAGAAGCTCAGTCTCTGTTGCAGGATCAGAAAGACTTGAATGATGGGTGAGGTGCCTGTCCACAGGTGGAGGAGGAGGTGTGAAGGGTGGTAGGGGGGAAGGTGGGGGCAGTCTTGGGAGGGGACCAGGATGGGCTGAGGCTTGGAGGCACAAGTTTTGAAAAAACATGTCTGAGCAGTTCATGTGAAGGATAAGGGTACTACAGTGGAGGGGGCAGATGGAGGCAGGAGACCAGTGGGGATATGACTGTGGGCTGGACGAGACGGAGTAGTGGCTGTGGTGAGGGATTTCTTGGCAGCTAGATGGGATGATGGCAGTGGCCTGGCTGAAGGAGGTTCTAGTTTGGGAATCCCTGTGGCTGGGGGTGAGGCACCTTTGTCTGGTTTTAGTCGGGGTGCATTTGTGATGCCTGTGAGACTTCCAGTGCAGTCTCCAACCTCCAGTGTGTGTAACTAAAAGGAGTCTCTGGGCAGGAATCCTGGCTCTGCCACTTCTGAGCCGTGTGACCTTGGGCCTCTCTGGGCTTCAGTTGCTTTATCTGTAAAATGGGGCCATTATTGGGCTGCTAGTCCAGAGGATGGAATGAACTAATGAATGCAAAGCACGTGGTGAGCACCCGCTGTTGCCATGTTCACAGGTAGAACCAGAGAGAGGAGGTGACTTGTATCCTCACAGCTTAAAACAACAAGCATTTATTATCACACAGTTTCTGCGGGTAGGAATTCAGGGGAGACTCAGGGTCTCTTCTGAGGTTGCAGCCCAATGTTGACCCTGGCCACAGTCATAAGAAGGCATGACAAAGTTTGGAGCAGCTGCTTTGAAGTTCACCCATGTTGCTTTGGGAGGCCTTGGTTCCTTGCAGCCTGCATGGCATGGCAGCTGGCTCCCGCCAGCATGAGTGATCTAACAGGGCAAGGAGGAAGCTCCGGTGTGTCTGTGCCCAGCTTCAGAAGTGACATGCCAGTACTTCTGCCATGCTCTGTTCGTTAGAATCAAGTTGCCAGATATATGATTCTGGGAGGGGAGAACTGGGCTCCATCTTTTGAAGGAGTGTCCAAAAAATGGCACATGGATTTTAAAACCACAGGCCCCCAGGGAGGTGGTGGTGGAGCTGGAACTTGCACTTGGGTCTTCTGCCCTCCAGCTGAGTGTTCTGGCCTATGTGGTAGGATTGTGTTCCCCAGGATTTCCCTCACACATTTGGTATCCTGGTAGAGAAACTGAGGCAGGGGGCGGCCCAGGAGCACCAAGCCCTCAGCCAGGTCTCCTGTGGCCTCACTCTCCTGGGCATCCTCTCATTGTTCTCGCTGCAGGTGAAGCGGAGGCTGGACCTGGAAACTGACCATCAGTACCTGGCCGAGAGCAGCAGGCCAGCCCGGGGTCGAGGCCGCCACCCAAGCAAAGGTGCCTACAGAGCTCAGGCTGAGGCAGGCCCCCGATCCAGTCCAGGTTGGGAGTGTGCTTGCAAACTAAGCTCTGGTCTGTCAGGCCTGGGCCGGAGCCAGAACTCTGGGCGTGCTGAGGGGCAGCTGGAGTGGCTGCCTGGCATGGCTTCCCTAGGTCCTGGGGGATGGGGAGTTCCCCGGCCGGATGAGGAAAACTGTGGTTGGCAGACAACAGCTTCCCTGTTTGGCCTCGCTAAGGAGAAGGAGCCATTTGCCCACACCCATTGCCATCCTCCTACCCTGCATTGCTGAGGAGGCCAGCCTGGCTGGGGGTGGGGGTGGTACTGAGGGACCCTGCCTTGCCTCCCCAGGTGTGAAATCCCCAGGGGAAAAGTCGCGCTATGAGACATCACTGAATCTGACCACCAAACGCTTTCTGGAGCTGCTGAGCCGCTCAGCTGATGGCGTTGTTGACCTGAACTGGGCAGCAGAGGTGCTGAAGGTGCAGAAACGGCGCATCTACGACATCACCAATGTCCTCGAGGGCATCCAACTCATTGCCAAGAAGTCTAAGAACCACATCCAGTGGCTGTAGGTACCAACCAAACAGGAGGGTGGGCAGAGGCCTGGGGCCAGGCCAGCCTGAAGGAGCTGATAGCAATACCCACTCTAGCTGCCTTCATCCCCATCTTATAGTTGGGGAAACTGAGGCTTAGAGAGGGGAGGTGGCTACCCTGAGTTAGTAGAAGCAGGAAACCGCACTTACCTTACATCTTTCTTCACCTGCGTAACTGCCATCTGCATCAGGATAAAGATGTCCAGCACCCCGAAAGTTCCTGTGTGCCCCTTCCCATTTGTTGTCCACCCCTTATACCACCAGGTGACCACTATTTTGGCTTCTGTTGACATTGATGAAATTGTCTAACAGCTATTTGATTATTCTTAATTCTTCTCCCAGTTGTCCTGTTCTGCTCAGTTTTTGCCTTTGAGTTTTTGGCAGATCATTCCATTCTGCACCATTTTTTTTTGTTCTTTTCACTTGACAGCGTATCTTAGAAATGCTGCCAAGACTGTACTGATGTATTCTCATCCCTTTACACAACTGTGTAGTATTCCAGGACACGTCTGTGCCATCATTTACACATCCAGCCACCTATGAGGCATGTGTGGGTGTTTGCACACATTCGAGCCTGACTCTGCACCTGGGCCGGTGTGGCTGGAAGCCCAGCTGTAGTACTCTACTGTTTCCTGGCTGAGGAGCCAGACCCAGAAAGGAGCAAGGTCTCAGCTGGGTCTCACAGAACAGAGGCCGCAGCAGGTTGGGTGCTGAAGGTCAGGGCTCCTGGGCAGAGGGGCCAGAGGGACAAAGCTAACTCCTGTTTTGCCTCCCCAGAGGCAGTCACGCATCAGTGGGGATTGGTGGGCGGCTTGAAGGACTGACCCAGGACCTCCAGCAACTGCAGGAGAGTGAGCGGCAGCTGGACCACCTGATCCATATTTGCACCACACAGCTGAGGCTGCTTTCCGAGGATGCTGACAGTCAGCGATATCCTTGGGCTTGCCTGGAGGATAGCGGTGGAGGGGAGGCCTGGTGGGCGGGACCCCTCTCAAGTGGGACTAGAGAGGCTGTCCTTGGCCCTGAATTCGGGAGGACTTTGGTTTGGGATGCAAGTCCTGGCTCAGCATTTACTCACTGAATGCTGATGGTGAAAGTACCTAACCTTCCTGAGCCTCAGTTCATCTGTAAAAGGACAGATAATCCCAATTCCAAAATTATACAGATTAAGACAAGAAAAGCTAGTACCAGCAATAACAAACATTTATTTACTACAGTGATTCAGGATATAGTTGTAGCTTCACAGTTAGAGGTAAAAGTTTTTATTTGTCTTTCATTCACAAAAACTTTCAAATATGCTGGGCTTTTTTAGTGAATGCCCAACTTATAAATTTTGGTGACAGCCACTAAGTGATATGAAGATCATGGGTCAGAATAAGTTCTGAAATTGCAGGCAGCCATCATTACCTTGGGATTAGATGAGTGGAATGGTCTCATTGTACAAATGTGGAAATGGAGCTTCAGGGAATGAGATAGGCTTGAGCACCAACTATGTGCTGAGCCCAGGAGTTAGGGAGGGAGAGACAGAGTGACTAAGCAGGTGTGGGCTCTGCCTTATGAGATGTCTGGGTGAGCAGCTCCCAGAGGTCAAAGGTAATGTCCTTGACTTCACCAACCCTGGCCTACGTGACCTGCCAGGACCTTCGTAGCATTGCAGACCCTGCAGAGCAGATGGTCATGGTGATCAAGGCCCCTCCTGAGACCCAGCTCCAAGCCGTGGACTCCTCAGAGGTGAGACCTGAGACCCCAGGCTTGACCAGGACAGGCTGGGCTGGGCTTGTGGTCAGCTGAGCCTCCATTTACCCTGCCTGCTGCCTCCACCCAGACCTTTCAGATCTCCCTTAAGAGCAAACAAGGCCCCATCGACGTTTTCCTGTGCCCTGAGGAAAGTGCAGGCGGGGTCAGCCCTGGGAAGACCCCATCCCAGGGGGCAGCTTCTGGGGAGGAGGACAGAGCAGCTGACTCTGCCATCACAGTGCCACCGCCATCATCTCCCCTCTCATCCCCTGCCACGGATCCCAGCCAGTCCCTGCTCAGCCTGGAGCAAGGTGGGTGAAGGGTGGGTAGCTGGGGTGCGGTAGGGCTCCTCTTGCAGGCGGGTGGGCAGACAGGACAGCCCCTTCTGCTCTCTCTGCCCGGTGTCCCTGGCCTATGATGCTGCCCCATCTCCCCAGAACCCCTGCTTTCCCGGACGGGTGGCCTGCGGGTCCCTGTGGATGAGGACCGCCTGTCCCCACTGGTGGCAGCCGACTCGCTCCTGGAGCATGTGCGGGAGGACTTCCCCAGCCTCCTCCCTGAGGAGTTCATCAGCCTGTCCCCGCCCCACGAGGTCCTTGACTACCACTTTGGCCTTGAGGAGGGTGAGGGCATCAGAGACCTCTTCGACTGTGACTTTGGGGACCTCACCCCTCTGGATTTCTGATGGGGCTTAGGGGGACCAGGGCCTCCTGAGATTACCACTCTGTCTCTGCAGTCCTGGAGCCCCCTGCCCCTGGCCATCCTCCTAGCTCAATTGGAAATGTTTAATTTATACCCCTCTCCCCTATCTCCAGAAGCTTCTTGCTCTGGAGTTCAGCTACTGCCAGGAGGCTGAGCAAGCCAGGAAGGGAAGGATTCTTTTTGTGGTGTGTATGTACGTGCATCCAACACCCGACATGTGTGTACACAGCGTGAGTGGTGTGTGAGCATGTATGTGTGCATGTTCCGGGGAATGAAGGTGAACACATCTGTGCGTGCACTGAAAACACGCCCCAGTGTGTCCACGTGTGTGTGCATGAGTCCATGTGTGCGCGTGGTGGGGGCTCTAACTGCACTTTTGATCTCCTTGCTCCAGGGGCCTCATGAGGCCCAGGGTGGCCACCTGCCCCCAGAATCCTGCATGCTGACCAGGCCAGGTGGTGGAGCCTTGGCCTGCTTGTTTGCAGGACAGTGAGAGCACCTCTGTCGTCTTAAAGGTTTTTCTGATTGAAGCTTTAATGGAGTGTTATTTATTTATCAAGGCCTCTTTGGCAAGCATGGGGCACCAGCAAAGGGTAGGAAGGTTGTGGGCCTGATGCCCCAGCTTCCTATACCCCTGAGCGAGGTCAGGGGTCCTTGTGCTGTTCTTTGCCCCACTCTGAAGGAGCTGAGGCCTGAGCGGTTTATTTATTGGGAAAGTGAGGGAGGGAGACAGACAGACTGACTGACTGACTGACTGAAAGCCATGGGTGAATCGACGGGGTGGTCCTTCCGTAGGGGGTCACTGCAGGGCCCCAGCTGCCCCCAGGATGGATGTGAGATGGGAAAGGTGAGTGGGGGAACCTTCACTGTCAGGGTGGGCTGGAGGGGTGGGTGAAGGGCCTGTCTAAGCCCAGACCATGGGGCCTCCTGTGGCATTTGAAGTGCCCCCTCCCACCGACCCTACTTCTTGCTCTGCCCACCCTCCAATCTGCACTTTGATTTGCCTTTCTAACAGCTCTGTTCCCTCCTGCTTTGGTTTTAATAAATATTTTGATGGTGTTTGGGCCAGGTTTTGGGACTATGTACTGGGAGTAAATGGGGTGGGAGAGGTCAACGTGCCCGGAAAAATGCCTGTTCTCTACTTCCCTCCTCCACGTCCCTGCTTGGTTTCTTTTGAGCCTCACAGTCCCAAGAAAGGCAGGCTTCATCACCATTTTTGTCCTAACTTAAAAAATAATCCAATAAAGTCATAAATGAATCCCCTCCTTGCCCCAACCCCAGAGAGGCCACTCTATAGTCAGTTTGCTATGTTCCTTCCAGATGTTTCTGGGCATTTGTAAATGTGCAACAATAATTAAAACCAGTTGAGTCTGTGTCAGGTTCTTTCAGGTTCTCGGTACCTGGGGCTCTCAGGGTGTGCTGCAGGAAATGAACATGGGAAAAAACCAGGGAGGGCTTCTTGGAAGAGGTGGTGCTTGCCCTGAGAGCTGCAAACAGGAGGAAAACATGAACACATCATGCAAAGAGGGTAGTATGGGCAAAGGCCTTGAGGCAGAAGGGAGTAGGGCCAGAGGACCTGGAAGAAACCAGTATGGCTGGAATCCTGAGGTGAGGGCTAGAGTGGAGAGAAGTTAGCTGCTTTTTCATTGGGCTTTGGGGGAACAGGGCCTCACTGGTGAGTCTGAGATAGAAATGATATGTCCTGCCTGCTGTGTGGAGGACGGATTGAAGAGGGAGCCAGAGGGAAGCAGGAAGAGAAGTTTGAGCTGTTTGAAAGGGGAGACCATGGTGACTGGAGGCAGTCCACACTGGCCTGTTTAACAAGCTTTAGGTGGACTTTACGCCAGTCCCTACTTTAAACTCTGTGCAGTGTATCTCCACAACAACTTTATGAAGTGTCCGATCACCCATTTTGTAGAAGAGGATAGAGATACTCAGGTAAAGTTCCACGTGGGCCTTACCCACAAGGTGTCTGTCTTGTGTACCCGCAGTTTGCTTTGTTGACCCTATGATGATGTGAGACCTGCTCTCAGCACTTGCGGCCCTTCCAGCCCCGTTCCTGGCTCTGTAGTACTCCTGAGCTGAGCGTTATTTATTTAGCCAGTTCGCGGTGGAGACGACTCCTTGAGCGGTTTACTCCGCAGTCACCACCCCTCCGGGAGGGTTTGGTAGCAGAAACGGGAAGGGGGACGGCGTTGGGTTCTACATTGTGTGGCTCTTGCTCACGTAGGTTCCCCTTTTCCAGACAGGGCTCAAGAGGGACTCGCAGAGCACTCGGTCTCGGGCGGGCGGGGGCGGGGCCGCGGGGGCGGGGCCCTGGGCGTCCGCGCCGGCGCCAATGGGCGGGCGTCCCCTCGCGTCCGAGACGGCAGCACCCAGACCCCGGAGCCGGAGCCGAACGGGTGGCGGCGCCATGGCGTGCGCGGGGCTGCTCACCGTGTGCCTGGTCCGGCCGCCCGCGCCCGAGCCCCCGCGGCCCCCTGCGCCCGCAGCCGGGCCCACCGGACACGCGCTCTTCCAAGACGTGAGTGGGGAGCGGGCCCGGGGCGCTGGCTCTCTGGCCCTGGGGATTGTCGCGGTCTTTCTCGAGGTGGCCCTCCGGGTCCTTCTTATCAATCCCTGGGTCTCACTCGCTCTCCTTGCCCACTTCTTTCTAAATTTGTTTTTCCCTATCTCTGTCAGGGTCTCTCCAGACCCAGGGCCCTCTGCCTCTGGGTCTCCTCCGTCTCTGTCCCTGTCTCTCGGACCCTGCTGTCTCTGTTTCCGTATGTCTCTCTTACCTTTATCTCCCTATCTTTTCGTCCCCTGTCTCTCTCACTTTCTCTGCATCTCTCCTTATTTCTGTTTCAGTGCCACTGCCCCTGCAGCCCCCCAACTCTGAATCCACTTCATCTGTGTGTCTGGTCTTGGGGGGGTGACTGTCAACACTTGATCACTGGAGGAGCCATGATACCCCTCTATGGCAGCCCCAGGCAGGGCTGACCCAGGCAGGGGATCCTAGAGGAGTAAGCAGACCCCTAGTTCCTGACCCACTGCTGACCCCAGAGTCCCTTAGATCTGACCCAAGGCCCGTGGGGGATCCCACAGTTGGTCGGGGCTGCCCACAGTCATCCTCCTTGGTCTGTACACCCCTCCGGTGGGTGGCAGATGGCCCTGCATCCGCCATGGGCAACAGTGCAGAGCAGCCTGGCTGGGCCTCAGTCACTTCCCTGAGCCCCTTCCCCATCTTTCACCCCAGTGCTCAGCCCCTTCCTGGTCGTTTTATGCCTCCCCCTTTCCCAGGGGTCCTTGCCAGTGGGAAAGGCTGAATTCCTACCCCTTCCCCATTGCCCCCAGTGACTCAGCACCCTGCCCACAGTCCTCCTGGCTAGAAGGGACCCGACCTTTCTGTTTCCCAGATAGAAAAACCACGGCCTGAGCAATTCACAGAGGCAGGGGCATGTTAGGGTGTGGCCCCAGGGGTCCTCACTCCCAGCTTAGCACCCCTCCCCTCAGTATTTCCATCACCCCAGCTGGCCACTCTGGACTGCTGTGTGACCCCCCAGCCAGTAGCAGACCTTCTCAGTCAGGCTTCTGGCTAGGGGTCAGCTTCACTGACCCCAAGAAAAGAGCCAGAAGGGAGTGGCATTCAGGACCTGGAGCTGATAGGGGCTATCTGTCCAGGCTTTGGCTTGCCCCTCCTTGCCAGGCCTGCTGGCTTTCCATTTGCTAGACTGCTTTGGGTGACCTGGGGATCTCAGGTTCCCGGGAGAGGCAGGGACCATGTCCTAACTCTGCTCCTCTGCGTCTGTCGCCCTTCATCTCTGCTTCTCTGCCTTTGCTTGCTTTCTGCCACCCTCACTCCTGTGCACGTACACACACAAAAACTCAGGCCTACCCAAGACCCTCACACCAAGTTGGCATCATAGGAAGCCCCAGCCCGGGCAGAGTTAACCCCAGTCTGCTCCCCCATGTGCTAGTGGGAAGACTGAGGCACCCATAAAGAAAGGACTGCTTGTAGCCTGCATGTCAGGGTCTTCAGTAAGCACAAAGGGAAATAGCCCAGAGCCAGCAGAGTCTGGGATGGGCCATGGCCACCGCAGAGTTGGGGGCTCAAGGCTGGGATGGGTGCCCAGGATCCTTGGGCCACATCTTGGCTCACTCCCCACCTCCTCAAGCTGGGACTGTGCTGAGGGCTGATGCATCAGACAGAACTCAGGATGAACTCTGAGTGTTGGTGGGGGGAGCAGGGAACTGGTCTGGGGCACCCCCTGTGAGGCCAGGTCCTGCAGGAGAAGTGAGCAAGTGGTGGGACCTGCTGTGTGCTCTTCCTCTGCCTTCCCTGTTGGAAAAGCTCCTGCAGGGCTGAGCTGGGCAGGGGGTTGGGACTAGGCTGAGCAGGAGGAAAGACGAGGCAGGGGTCGGGCTGACCAGCTGGGGCCCTGTCGAGTTGGGTGGGGACCTCTTGCCTCCCGGGCCCTACTCAAGCTCCCATCTATGCCCTTTTGTCTTCTAGGTTTTCCGCAGAGCAGACAAGAATGGTGCGTGTGGCTTCCCCTGGGTCCTATGGTGGTGGGAAGGGAGGAGAGCATTGGGAAGGCTTGGGGGAAGGTTGGTGATTTGGGGGCACAGTCTAGAATGGAGAAAAATTGTGGGGGGACCCAAATAAGGAGAATCAATCAAAGCATCCTTCCTGGAAGAAGCATTTTGAGTCAAGCTTGGTAGGATAGAGTGGTTTAGCCAGAGGTTGGAGGTGGGAGCTTACTTTAACTTGGTGCCTTGACACAGTGGTGGGTATTTCCCATATATGACCGTGTGTTGTCTTCACAAATGCCAGCTAGGTGGGAATTCTTCAGCCCATTTCACAGACAAAGGAGCAGAGGCCCAGAGAGGTGAAGCAGGTTGCCTGAGGTCATATAGTGTTTAAGTGCTGGACCTTGAATGCAGGTCTGTGATGCTTGGTCCCAGGCTCCCTTTGTGAGGGACTTGAAAGGATGGGGTAATGGAGATGAGGTCCTACTGTAGGGGATTTACTCATAGAGTTTTAGAGGGCTCAGTAACTTTCTGTGACCAACCATCTTGACTAGAAGGCTTGGGCAGAATAAAGCTGGGTCCAGGGAATTAGCTCATCCTGCCTTGGGTCCTGGGCAGTCACACTGGTCTGGGAAAACCTTGAAAGGTAAAGCTGGAGCCCTTAGGGGACCCTGCAAGCAGGTTACTGCTCATAGACAACTTGGGCCCACTGTGCCCTGATTGGCCAGTTAAGGGTCTGAACGGAGGCAGCCAGTCAACCTTGACCTCACTTCCATCTTCAGACCCTTTTGCGTTTCAGCCTCCATGAGACAGGATGGTGTCCTCAGCCCTTGCTGCTTCTCCTTGGGTCTCTTGAATTTGGTAGAGACCGTTTGTCCCAATCTGCCGAGCAGGAAACACGGCCTCATTTGGATCACAGTATTTGGTCTGGCGAGTGCAGACCATCCCCCCAACTCTACTCCCCTGCCCCATTTGCTTAGAGACTTAACAGGCCAAACTCCCAGTGTCTTTGGCCATCCCACTCAGGTCCTCATCCTGTGCCTCGTGTCCCTATGGAGGGGTGGTCATTCCCTCCTAAGCCAGCCCATTGCTTCTTAAAGGGGCTCCAGTTCATAGGAAGAGCTCATCTGCCTCCTTGTGGATTCTTTGTGAAGGGCCTGGTCCAGAGTACCAAGGTTCCCTTCACCTTGTAGCCAGGCCGGCCAGCATGTGGAGCAAAGATTTGGCCCCAGAGTCCTCCAAATGACATCTAGGCCTTGCCATGACCTGGCTGTTTCCCAGGCTGTTCATTTGTATTTTCATTTGGCAAACATTTACTGAGTCCCCACCCAGTGCCAAAAGTACTGCCCTGTACCTTGGGTGCTTGCAAAATGGGCCCTGTTGCCTTTGGTGGGCACTTCTGAGGGCCCCAGCCCTTACGTCTCCAAAAGCCAGGCCCCCACCCAGCTCAGATTCCCGTTCCACCTGGCTGGATGGTTGAGAGATGCTGTGAGGCCTACGGCGGGGCCCAGACCTGGTAGGAAGGGTGCGGCCAGAGGTCAGGGATACCAACTCTGTTCCCTGCCACCCCCAGATGATGGTAAGCTCTCATTTGAGGAATTCCAGAATTACTTTGCTGATGGGGTTCTCAGCCCAAGGGAGCTGCGGGAGCTGTTCAGCGGCATTGATGGGCATCTCACTGAGTGAGTACAAGAAAGGGGGTGGATGAGCTGTGGGTAGGTGTGAGGTCAGGTTGTCCCAACCCCACTGCATCCCTTGCTGCCTTGGTTCTTTATGGAGGATGGGGAGCACAGGGAGAAGGGCACCAGGGCTTGGTGCAAACTTTGCCCATCCACCCACCCCCTCCTTGGCTCCAGCTTTGCCCATCATACTGCTTCCAGCTGGGGCCCCAAAATAGCCAGGTCTGAGTCACCACCCGTGGTTCAGCCCACAGGTGCCCCCCTTCCTGCTCCCTGCAGGGACCAGAGGATGCCTGGGGACAGCTGGACCCCGCCTGCTTCCACCCATTGATGCAGGTGCATAAACACGCACACACCACCCCACACGTGCGCCCACATCCACAGGCCTTAGCACGAGTTTGCATGCTTTCCTCCCCATGCTTTCTCATAAAGTGAACAGATATATAGCTGTCCCTCCTTCTCACCCTCCACCCCCATCTCCTTAGAATAAATTCCAGACTCTGAGTCGGGATAACCTCCCCTATTCTGAAGCTTGAGCTGGACCCTTTGTCTGCAGCGCTACCACTTCCCCACCACCAGACACCACAAATTCCTTGTTATTCAAGGACTAACTTAGGCAGCCCCTCCTCCAGGAAGCCCTCCCCGACTTACCAAGTAATACTCATGCCTTCTGTGGACTTCCCCAGACCTGGCTTCCCCTCCCAGCTCTGACCACTCCTCTCTGGCCTATGTCCACATTTGTCTCCCTGGGTCTCAAATCCCTTTGGGAGGCCAAGAGTGGGTCTAAATTCTTGCCCTCAGAGAGTATTTGATGGGGCCGTAGTGCTCTTGTACCCCCGCTGCTGCCCATTGAGTAACTTAACCCGGGGTGGGTGAAGGCAGAAGCTGCTGCCTTGTCAGGCTGAGCTGGGCCGTGGGGGGGAAGAATTTTGGCGTCAGAGCCCTAGGTTACCAGGCCCAAGTCTTCATGTCTGAAGGATGCCTTCTTTTCCTGCAGCAATTTGGAAACTGAGAAACTGTGTGGTGAGTAGGCCCGTGTCTCCCGGTCCACGTGGGCAGGTGGGTGTGATGAGAGGCCATTGCTGGTCTTCTGTTGGAATGGGTTGGGCTCGGCTGGGCTCAGGATATGAGGACTGGCTGTCCGCTAAGGAATTCCAGGCTGGGTAAATGGGTGGGGATTCCAGGAACCTTTGAGCACCTCCTCTGCCCGCAGACTACTTCTCAGAACACCTGGGTGTGTACCGGCCTGTGCTGGCTGCACTGGAGTCACTGAACTGTGCAGTGCTCACTGCCATGGACACCACTAAGCTGGTGAGTGGAGGGGCAAAATGAGGGCAAGGGGTCCTGTCTGCTGTACTGTGGCTCAGGGCTGTGGAGCTGGAGGTCTGGGTTCAAGTCCTGACTCTCCCATTTTTCTGGCTGTGCACTTTTACCTCTCTGGGCCTCAGTTTCTTCATCTGTAAACTGAGGAGAGTAATGGAGCCTACTGCCATACATTTTTTGTGAAATGAGATTGAAAGCAGAGATTTTTGTTTGTCGTGTTCTCTATTCCCAGCGCCCAGAACTATGTCTGCTATGCAGTAGCCACTTAGTACCGACAGCTGCTGCTGCTACTAGTTTTTTTTTTATTATTGGCCAGACCTAACTGTTGTGGGCTATCAAGTTCAGGACCCAGCAGAGATGGGCTGGGACATGGGGTGTGCTCAGACATGTCCACAGGCCCATACCAGTGTGTAGAGCCTCGGGGGGTGGGCCTGGCCTGGGGACATGCGTGAGTAGGCAGGTGTGTGTGCACCCACATCTGCAAGTGAACACAAGTATAAATGGTGCTCACAGCCAGGGCTCTGGTTACTTGAATGGTGACTTCTTTTGTGTGTTCCTTTTAAGAAATGTCTTCACTGCTCTTTGTCCCATAGTTCTTAATAAGTGGGTGAGGAGGGAACAGTGAGCAGGCCTGGGATTGTGTTTGATCCCACTTTTTACAAAAGGGGAAACTGAGGCCCTCAGTGAGTCAATGATAAGCTAAAGCTACCTAACCAGAGCTCCCTTTCCGGTTGCTTTCACATGGGATTTAGTTTTTCAAAGGGTCACCCCTTGGGGCCTGGCATGGGTTGGGAATCCAAATGGTACATGATGAGGGGTTGGTATGTTTCTGATGATTTCCACATCTGTGGCCTGGACACGAGTGGGGGCATTGCTTTCCTTATGGTTATGGAAACAGGACCCTGGGGGTGACCAGCTGGACTGGCATTCTCTGAATTGGCATTAGTTGGGGAGGATTCAAATTGCAGGTCACAGGCCTAGGGGCCCCCAACCACCTCCTCCTGGCCCACAAAGAGGTAGAGGGTAACTCATCATCACACAAGGACTGTGCCAGCTCCAATCACTTGAGACTTTTATCCGGCACTCAGTGCCTCTGATAGAGCTGAGCCTCTGCCTCTGCAACACCCCCTTGTGGCACCATCTCCTCCAGTCCAGTATGACTCAGTTGAACACTTCATGCAGTAGCCTGGAGCCACACTCCTGGTACATGGCCCAGGTTATCCAGTGGCACTGGAAGGAGTGCAGTGAGGCTACCATGGAGCCACTTGGCCATACTGCTGTGCCACGCCAAGGCTGCAGTGCCCCATAGCCATGCTGCCAGCACTGAGCTTCCAGCTCCATCTCCAGACGCTCAGTAAAGCCAGGGAAAAGTGTGGAGCCACCAGCCAGCACCACGGTGTCCACCAGCCGTGTCCGTAGTGTTGCAGGCACCCTCTGCAGTGCCTGGAAGGCCAGTGTGGGTAGTGCTGGCCCAGCTCGGCCTATCAGACCCGGCTGGAAGATGGGTTCTGGGCAGCGGAAGTGCGCTGCTAGGGCAGACAGAGCACCTGTCTAAGCAGAAACTGGCCGGATGGTGGCGGGCAGGGTTATGGAGGTCACCCTCGAAATCCAGCAATACATAGCAGCAGCGCTTCTTGAGCTGTGTGAGGGTCTTGCGGGGCAGGACTTGCAGTCGTAGATCGGGGCACGCTGCCAGGAGTTGGTCCGTAAGGTAGCGCGACAGGGTACTGCCTGCCACATCCTGCTGGAAGGCGGCCTCGTGCCACCAGTGGTCCGCATAGACGGGCGTGCGCGCCCTCCTCCACGGCCAGCCCGCTGAACGCACCAGTAGGGCAGAGCGCCAGCAACGCTGTGCTGGCCATGTGGCACGCGGGCACTGCCAGGGCCTCAAACAGCAGCTGGGCCATCCTCTCACGGCCCGCGGGTGGCGCCGACGGTGAGCCGCTCACCAGTACCGGCCACTGCTCTTGGCACACCCGTAAGCGCCCACCAGCAGGCGCTCCCACAGCCCCTCCAGCGCCTCCCAGTCCACCCCCACGCCGTGCTTGATGGGGTGCACCCGCGTCACGCCGACCGCCAGCTCGCAGCTCGGTGCTCCGGGCAGCACGGGTCGGTCCCAGCTGGGCACCAGGCTGGAGCTCTTCAACACCAAGCGCGGCTGTTCCTCGCCCGCGAAGTCTGTCTTTACGAAGCCGGAGCCCTGGTCCATCACCACCGCGATGCGGCCGAGGGCGGGCGGCCGGCGACTCCCCGGCGCCGACACTACCTTCCGCCCTTCGACCGAAGGCTCCGCCCCGGTCTGAGTTCGGTCCCGCCCCGGTCTGAGGCGTTTCATCTCTTGGCTCGGCTCGGGGTAAGTCCCGGCTTTTCTGGACTTGGTGGGTAGAGCCTTCAATTCTTGGCTCCTCCCTCTGGTCCTGAGGCCCCGCCCTCTGGTCAGAGCCGATGTCTCTGTTCAGTTCTCGGTTCCGCCCGGAGGCTTGAGACCCCGCTTCCGGTTGCAGTGTAGGGCTCCGCTCCCGCTGTGCTCTTCGCCCTCCCCAGGCTCCACTTTGAAAGTCGCCCCCGGGGACCAGGTCCCACCCGCTCTCTGGGGACTCGCCTCTGCTGTGCGGCTCAGCCCTCGCAGGGGCGGATGATGGGAGGGCCAGGCCAAATCCTTTTAGATACTGAGAAGCCCGCAGGAGCAGCAGGGCCCTAAGGATGAAGGGGCCTTGTGGCAGTGTCGTCGGGACATACACCTCCCCAAGGGACCCAGGGGTCCAGCCCAGCCCCTGAACCCCGCGGTCTCCTGATACCACTCCCCTGGGCTTGACCAAAGTTAGTTCCTTGTGTGGAGGTGGGAAGGCTGGTCAGAGAAGAAAGGAAAAGAACGGAGATTGGACTCACTGTGATCTCAGGCCTCTGCTTTCATGAAAACTACCAGGATCCATACTCTCTCCTGGGACAGGGCCGAGGGGCAGTGTTTTTGAGATCCAGGAGTCTGCCCAGCACAACCAATCTGATTCCTTCCCCAAACCACTTCGGATTATCTGTCCAAATGTGTGGCATCTCCCCTCTCAATGCTGAAGAGAAAGCTCTTAATCACAGGTCTGTTAGCCACTCCAAGGACCTCTGTGTGCTTAGCTCTGAGGGGCCCAGGCAGCTCACATAGGGGTCCTACCCTCAGTGGCTTCCACCTATGGACTCTTGTAGGCTTGAGTTTGTGACCCAGTTCTGAAGCTAACTCAGTGTGCACCCCTGAGCAAGTCCTAATCTCTGGGCTGTTCCTCCAAAAGGTAGTAGTAAGCCTCACACACAGGAGAAAGGCTACTTCTTTTCTCTGCAGGGTCTCATTCTCTTTAGGACCATTTTGGTTTCAAGTAGAAGATCCACACAGGTGAGCATGAGATAAATAGGAATTCTATTACATCTTATGAATCCCAAAGGCAAAGGTGAATCAGGGTTCAGAATCGGACTGGAAGCAGGGCCTGACTGCAGGGCTGTGGGGAATCCAGGGTGTGCACTGTCTCTACATTGTGTTTTTTATTCTTCTGAAGAATGTGCTGGTCATGTTCATGTAGAAAACAGTCTTTTACAGCTCCTGAATCACAGTCCTAGGGACGGGGCTGATAGGACCTGCTTAGGCCGATAGGACCAATGGCTAGGAGGTATGGTCACATTAAGGAACATGGTTTATCCTGATTGTAAGCATATGGATGGTAGGAAAGGGTCAGTTCTTACAAACAATGGGGAGATGCTGTGGCTCATGCAACCTCCAGCCTGATGCAGGTGACATGAAGGGGATCTGACTGTGTTGACTCTATGGAGAAAGTGCATCTCCAGCAGAAGCTGGGCCTGTGTCTTTAAAGAGCTGATACCTTGCCTCCAAAGGGGGCATTCTGAGGCTGGCTGCCAGTGGAAGGCAGGCTACAGGTTTGGCAGAGCTGGGGCAGCACTAGGGGCTGGAGCTGGGTTCGGGACCCAGGAGAGTGAGGACAATCTGAGTCTTGCCTACAGAAGGTGTGCCAGGCCTCTCCTGAGTTAGAAGAGTTGAAACTCGAGTTGGAGACCACAGTGGCAGAATGACCAGAGCAAGGGTGAGGGTGGAAGTCACTGGGAAGTGTAGAGGGGAAGGCAGGCTGGGGGGCTGGACCTGTACATGGAAATAAAGAGGTTTGGGCATTTCCCTGTGGGCAGTGGAGAGCCAGTGCCAGTTTATGAACAGGGAGAGTGAACTGCCCTATAGTAGATAAGTGGTCTGGGAGAAGTCTTTGGCTGCAGTGTGGGGAAGGGGATAGGACTGGGTAGGTTGAGAGACAAGTGACTGAGCTGCCCTGGGCATTACCAAGCAGAGTTGGGTAAGAGTGAGGGTTGGAGGCCCATGGACTCAAACCTCCCCAAAGGGTGCTATCCCAGGCGGAATGTGAGTCTTGGGCTGCCCCCTGCTGCCCCGTCCTACCCCCTTGGGACCCTCACAGTTTTTCCCCAGGGTGGTGGCTGTCTTCCTGGAGCCTTCCCCCTGTCCAAGGAGGCCTCGGGAATGTTGAGGGTTCTTGGAGATGCCAGGCATTGCTGGAAACAGGCCCCGCCTCCTAGCGTGGCCAAGCCTCGGTTTGTCCAAACTCACCTCCCTTGGGCCTCCGGACCTGGCAGGGTCTGATCCGGCCTGGAGTTGAGAGGGGAGGGAACCAGCCTCCCTCACCGCGGCAGAGGGCCTCCTCCCCAGCTTGAGGCAGGGGTTCGACGATTGGGTCCCAAAGAAGAAGGCAACAACGGCCTTGGCTGCAGGCCTGGCTGTTGCTCCACCCTCGGTTAGCTCGTTCATCCCTGTCTCACTCAGAGACTCAGTTTCCCCCCACCCGGACGCCTGGGACAGAACTAGCCGGGGTGGGGTTGCTGCGCGCTCTTTATCGGGCCGGTCCCGGGGCGTTGGCAGCGGCGCCTCTTGCGCGGCTGCTCGCCTGCGGGGTTGGCCTCGCTCGCGGCTAGCGCGGCGCGACCTCGGCCCCGTCCCCCGTGGCCCCGGGCCCGCCCACCGCGCGGCTCCCTCTTGGTGCAGCCGGGAGTCCGGCAGCAGCAGCAGCGCCGGGATTGTCCTCATCTCTCGCGCGCGTGCGCCCTCTGGCCGCTCGGCTCAGTTGCCGGCTCCTCGCCGCTTCCGCGCCGCCTCCGGGGAGCCCGGCACTGGGGTGCTCAGCGCGTCCCCGCCCGCCCGCCCGCGCCACGCGGCGGGCTCAGCCGCCGCCTCGGCGAGCTGCTGCCGCTTGTCCAGGGGGAAGAGCAGCACGATCGTGGGCTGGTGCTGGGGCAGGGGCGTGAGGGGAAAGGGCCCGCCGGCCCTGCTCCTGGGGACCCTCACGCACGGTGGTTCTGTCCCCCGGGTTTGCCCCCTCCACGTTTCCGGGACTGCCCAGAGGAACGTGCTCCCCACCCTGTTCCATCGCCCGGGACTCCTGCCCCCTCTGGAAACCCTCACCCACCCGAGGTTGATCTGACACCTTGCTCAGTCCACGTTTATGGGATCCCTGCCCGCCTTCCTGGCCTGGATGCTGGGACCCTCACCCACCTTGGCACTGATCCAGGGCCTCTGCCCACTTGAAGAGGGGAAAAGCATGCGTTGAGGCAGGGGGTGGGGAAGGGGATATAAGGGAACAACCTGTGCCTGTAGCCCCAGTGGTACCAACTAGAGGCGAGTCCCTATGCCAGGCCCTCCCCCCACCTGTTGGGCTCCCAAGCTCAGGTACCTCCTGGTTTCTGGAATCCCTACTCTGTCTCCTGGGCTTTTAGGACCCCATCCCCATTCATGTGGGCCTCTGGACTCAGGAGGGATTTTCTAGCCCCTTCCATGCCTTTTCACAGGCTTTGACCCCCAGCATCCCCTCCTACCCGCCTGCCCAGGTTCCCTGACTCCCACCTGCCCCTTGCCCCTGGCACTCACACTTGCTTCTTTCTCTTTAGGCGGCTGAAGAACTGCTGTCTCCACCCGGCCTTGTCCATGTCGGCTGGCCTCTCCTTTTGGGCCTGCTTGGGTACTTTGGTCCTCCTGTGGGAACTGTTGTTTCCCATGGCAGGGCTGGTCACCTCGGGGGGCCACAGCTCATGCTGCCTCTGCCCTGCCCTCTGTCTGGGGACCTGTCCCCGGCTCTGTCCTGGGGAGGCTACATCGTGACCTCGTGGGTCAGTCATGAGGCTCCAGGCTCAGAACCCACAGGCGAATCTTGGCCCCATTCACTCTGTCTGTGACTTCTTCTGGCCCTGGTTTCTCAGCCCTAAAACTGGGCTAATGATCATAAGTGAGGCAATACTGGAAAGGTGCTTAGTGTGAATAGAGAGGAACTCTGTGGTTTGGGTTTTAATTCTGGCTCTGCTGCTAACTAGTTGTTGATCTTGGCCAAGGTAACCAACTGCTCTAGGCCTCAGTCTTCTCAACTGTAAAATGGGGTCAATCATGGTTCCTGTAAGTTATTAGGAAGATTAAATGAAATTCTGCTTGGATGAGGGCCTGGCACAAAGTTGGTGCTTGTGTCAGCCAGGTTCTGTTACAAGCAACAGCAACTGATCAGTTCTCTTAAGTGCCCCAAAGAGAATTTATTGGAAGGATTTCAGAGAGCTCAGAGGATGGCCAGGAAATATGGAGACCAGGCTTGAAGATAGGACACAAACCATGGCCTGTCTGAGAACGAGAGGACCCAGCCTCCTGTGTCCTGCCTTCCAGCTCATAAGCCTGACCCCATGTAATGGCTGAGCCAAGGCAGGTCCATGGACAGAGATGAAGCTCCTGATGGCTTGTGCCTCTGGGGCCCCTTGGAGGGTGAGCACCTGGGTCACTGCTCCCCAGGACTCCCATCCTGGGCTGTGTCCTTCATAGGAACTAACTCACTGGAGCTTCTCAGCAGCTCAGTGAGATGGCTGTTGTTAACCCTTTTTATAGGTAGGAAACTGAGGTACAGGGAGATGAAGGTAGTTGGGGATTCTGAGCATCGTAAGTGGGCAGCATAGGGCTGTTACACGGTTGGCCTCCTTGTCTCTCTGCCCACCTTGGGAGGGTAGGGAAAGAGAACAGTGCTATAGATTGGATCAGTGCTGGGAGAGAGGGAGAGAGAGAGAGAGAGAGAGTAGGCCGAGCCACCTGGCTTTTATCTGTAGCTCATAAAAGGTGTTCAGTAAATGCTTGTTGCATGGATAAGTGAATGAATGGATGCATGCTTACATACATAGTGAGTTGGGGCCAGCTGGTAAGTATGGGGCCACATCACACCATCATTTTACCTCATGTGTTAAAATTGGCCTTTGAATGCCCTGTAACCTGCCCCAACCCCCACCAGCTTAGCTGTGCCTGGGGCCTGCCTCCCTTGCTGAAGGTGGTAGGCCCAGTAGGGGCCTTGGACCCACAGAAAGGCAGATGCCTCCCTGTAAGTTGGCCTCACAACTCCCAAGAAGGCAGGCTAGGCCCTGCTTCCATTCCCAGCACCCTCCTGCTTAATCCAGATCTGCATGCTCTCTGCTCTTTATGCTGCCACTGTTGCTTTGATAGGCAGTGGGCGGGGGAGCAGGCTCTCCATTCAGAAATATGTGCTGCCCCCAGGAGTATGAGCAGGCCTCCAAGGTGGACCAGTTTGTGACACGCTTCCTATTGCGGGAGACAGTGAGCCAGCTACAAGCCCTGCAGAGCTCGCTGGAGGGGGCATCAGAGACCCTGGAGGCCCAAGCCCGAGGCCCACGGTATGTGAGGGGCCCAGCTGATCTGCGGATCCCATTTGTGAGTGCCCATTGTCTCCACATTCCAAGTCCCTCAGTTTTCTTCTCACTCCGTAGTCTAGCATTCCAGAACCCAAATTCTTGTTCTGGGCAGGGAGGCCAAGAAGGGGTGAGAGGGGGCAGTTGGCTTTGAGGATGGGCCTCAATGGCTCAGGAAGCCTGTCTTGCCACATCCAGACGTGGCCCTGTTCTGGGGCTCCAGCCCTCAGCCCTACAGGTATGGGAGCAGTGGGCTGACCCTCCACTTTCCTTAGGTCCGATGAAGAGAGCATGGAGGTACACAGGAGGCCCCAGGGCAGCCGGAGGGCAGGGCGCAGGGCCCTGCGGAGCATCAGTCAGTCACCTACCTGGTCTCCTGGCTCCTCTGACCCAGGTGGGCCTGTGGCAGGGTGGGAGGGCTGGCTGTGGCGAGTCCAGGGTGGGCACAGCATCGCCCAGTCCCTGCCCCTGCAGTGCCCCTCCGTTCATCCTGAGAAGCCTCCCAAGCTCAGGGGCCCATGCCTGACTTCCCCTCATGGGCCCTCCACCCCCAGGGCAGAGTTCGGAGGCTGAGATGCAGTGGCGGCTCCAGGTCAACCGTCTCCAGGAGCTCATCGACCAGCTTGAGTGCAAGGTGAGCAGCCGGGTGGCCAGTGCCCTGATGGGAAGGACCTTCCTGAAAGCCAGCCACATGCCAAGGGCCTGGTCCACACTCTGTCTCTCACAGGCCCCCAGGCTGGAACCCCTGCATGAAGAGCAGCTCTCCAAGGGGCCTGACTCGGTGAGTCCAGGACAGGGACAGATAACTGGGTGTCAGGTGAGGAGCTGGTGCTCATGAAATGAGGGGGTTCACGGGCCCGGTTGCCCATCCTGCCTCTGCAGTGCACACATGCTCCCTTCCCCAGGCCTGGCAGCCAGGTGCTGGATTCAGGCCCTTGCCCTGTGGCCCTGCAGGAAATGCCCTTTTCTGGGCATCAGTTTCTTTCATCTGCTTTTCTGAAAGCTGATCTGGAGGCTGGAGGGGGCAGTAGGAAGTAGTGGCATGATGCAGGAGGGAGGGACAGCAGCTAGCTAGATTAAGGCAGCAGTCTTGGTGATGGGGAGAGTAGGATGGAGTTGGGGATCCTGGGGCTGGGCTGGAGCAGGAGTCTCACCTCAGGGTAGGCTGGGTCTGGTACAAGTCAAGAAGGGCAGGGTCCTCCTGGAGGCCACAGCTGGTCTGTCACCTGTGCCCTGCCCTACCCTAGCTGACAGAGCTGCCTCTTTGCCAGCACATCCTCATGGCCCAGAGGCAGGTGCAGGTGGCAGAGGAAGCCCTCCAGGACTTCCACCGTGCCCTGTGCTGCTACGTGGACTTCACAGAGGCTCAGAGCCATTGCCTGCAGTGAGTCCCCAGCTGGCTGGTGGGCTGGCCAAGGTCAGGGGTGTGGGTGGTGAGCAGGGAGGAGTGCTGGGGCTGGGCGTCCTGGGCCAGGGCTCCTATTAGACACCCCTGGCTAGGTGGGCAGCAGTAGAGATAGCCTGGGTCTGGCCTGGCCGTCTCTTTGGCCCCACAGTGTATCTGCTCAGAAGATGCTGGACAATGCTTCCTTCACCGTGTACGAGTTCTGGAAGGATGAGGCCTCCTGGAGAAGGTACGAGTGGTGACACAGTGTATCTGCTCAGAAGATGCTGGACAATGCTTCCTTCACCGTGTACGAGTTCTGGAAGGATGAGGCCTCCTGGAGAAGGTACGAGTGGTGGTCTAACAGCTAACATTTATTAAGGATGGGCCCTGGAGATAGGTTTGGATTCAAGTCATCCTCTCCTATTCACTGGCTGTGTGACCTCAGGAGAGTTACCTAACCTCTCTGAGCCCTCCTGGCCTTGTTTCCAAAATGGGAATAACAGTTCCACCTTCATATGAGCTAAGTGAGATATGTGAAGAACAGAACACAGTGCCAGGTACTGTGAATATGCACTGTTGCTATTGCAACAAGCCCCTGTGTGTTCCTTCATGTTATCCTCACAGTATTCCAGGACAGTAGCCACTCTTGTCCCCATATCACAGAGGAGAAACAGGCTCAGAGGCAGTATGAGGAAGGGCTGGGATCTGTCACAGAGGAGAAACAGGCTCAGAGGCAGTATGAGGAAGGGCTGGGATCTGAGTCCAGGTGGCAGCACTGGGGTGGGACTGGGGATTAGCTCCAGCCTCAGCACTCTCCACCTGCCTTCCCAGGCATCAGCAGTCTGCCTGCAGTAAGGCCTTCCAGCGCATCCTCATTGACCTCCTGCAGGCTCCGGACACCCTCACTACTGTGTTCTTCCCAGGTGTGCAGCAGCCCCCATCTCCCTGCACAGCCCTGGGATCTGGGGAGGGAAGTGGGCCCCTGATGTCCTCTGACCCTCAGTCTTTGACCTTCCAGCCTCCTGGTGGATTATGAATAATAACTGAGCCTGATCTGCATAAGCCAAGGACCCTGGGGCCCTGCTGGCCTCCTTCAGGGGCTTCTGGACTTGTCAACTGACCACCACAAGTTCACTGACACTCCTAGACCTGGGGCCTGGCTCTCAGAGGCTCCCCAGACCCAGTTGGTGGAGAGCCTCTCAGCCCAGGGGTCAGGGACTGGAGAGCCTCTCAGCCCAGGGGTCAGGGACTGGGCTGCCTGCTTTGTTTCTTTATCGGTGTATTTCATTGTTTGTCTTCAGCGTGAGGCACGCTGGTGCCTGCCTGGCTCAAAGGCCTGGATCCTGGTCCCCTCTGCCTCTGCTTTGTTGTGTGGCCCAGGGCAGATAGATCCCTTCCCTCTCTGGGTGGCCCTGGGCTATCTGGCTGCCTAGGGGCTGCCCTGCTTTCTTCCTACTGTCTTGGGGTCAGGCTTCCGCTCTTCCTCAAGCAGTAGCAGGACCAGGGCTGATGCTCAGGAACCCCTGCCCCGCCCCCTCCTGAACCTGAACCCCTGAAGCCGGACTGGATCCATCTGCAGTGTGGGCAGTAAGGACCTGGGTGCCCCCGTCACCCTCTGAGTTGGCAGGCTCCTGGCTTCCAGCACCCACGGCTGCACCAGAGACCCCTGGAGGATCTTGGGTTGGTTTGTGTGTCATTTGCATGCTCATGCCCACCCATACTCAGGGCACTATGGAAAGCCCTAAGGTGATCTTGTAAAGTAGCAATAATTTGGGCCCAGAGTTGCCTGCTGCCCCCAGATACCTCTGAATCCCAGGCCAGGACCCCAGCACAGAGGCAATAAAGGCAGTGATCCCCTCTGGTGTCGTGTCCTCTCTGTCCCTTAGCAAGAAGGCCAGGCTGTGGTGCCAGTTTGTATGTCTGACCAGAGACTCAGCAGGAAACTTCTTTAGAAACCAACTGAGTCCCCTCTCAAGTGCCTGTGTCTGCAGGTGGTTGGGGCTTAGTCACAGCGGATTCAGGTTTCTTCAGTTTAGGGTCCTCTCACCCCTACAAACCCTGGTTCTGGAGTCTTGCCTGGGAGAGGGCAGTGGGCGTAGTCTCTGCTGTCAACACCTCCAAAGTCTGCGGGTGCTCCAGCTTCATACCCGTGCCGCAGAGCATTTCCAGGAGAGTTAACGGTTGTTAGTCCATCCAGCCACTGGGGGGCGCTCCTTCGGGCCATGTCGGGGAAGGGAGTGGGGGCCAATGGGAGAGGTGATGGATGTGGACATGGGTTCTTTTAAAGGGGAGGTATGTGGCACCCCCAGGGCACAGGATGGCTTCTGGCCTGATCTGGAGGTTGTGGGGTCAGAAGCTTTTCAGCAGAGGAAACATGCTCAGGCTCTGAGCAGGAGGGCTTGCCCCTCTGAACTGAAGGAAGCCAGCAGTGGGCTGAAGCTGGGGTGAGGGGAGCGGGGGCCGAGGTGAAGGTGGGGAGGCAGCAGGGCCTCCAAGGTGCTTCATCCTGAGGAGTCTGTGGTGGGTTTAAGCTGACATCTTACCCGTGTCCTGAAGGCCCAGTGGTGCTAGTTCTTCCTGGGGGCTGAGGCATGGGAGGAAGGCAGCTTGAGTGGATGTCCTGGTCTGGGACTCCTGGCACGTCTTCTCATGACACCCACAGGACTTCAGGCTGGCAGGGGGACACAGCTGCTCCCACCACCTGGCCACCCAGACCAAAGAATCTGCACAGGGGCCCGGTGGCTCTTTGGCCAGCACCATGCCAGGCTGCCCTTATTTCCCAGACTCTTGGGGATTCTGGAACATGCTGCCAGCACCTGAGCCACACAGCCTGAGGTTTAGTGTCCTTGATAGAGAAGCCTATCCAAGAGGAACTAGTCCTGCTTTCTAGTGTTCTGATTCCATTTCCTCCACAGCAAGAGCAAAACCTTAAAACTGAAAGGCTTGTCATCGCCGTCTCTGCAGAGGCCGAAGCCCTCAAGCTGGTATCTTGATGCCTCCTCACATTTGTGCCCTTGCCTGCCTAACCCTGCAATGAAGTTCAGAATGCTAATACTTTTTTTTTTTTTTTAAAGATGAGCTGTGTCCTTCCTTGCTGAAAGCTTGGAGGTGCTGAGGAGGGGAGAGTGGTCAGGCTTGCAGGGTTTGGGATGGCCTCTTAGAGATGGTGACATTTGGTTAGAGCTGTAAGACATCAGTAGGGGGGTCTCCAAACAGATGTGAGGAGTGGGTAAGAGGGTGAACGCTGCAGACAAAAGGAACAGAATCTGGAACTGTGGAGCGTGAGGGATTGGCAGTGAGTTGAGGAGGCCAGGCGAGAGGGAGTTTGTTGTCTTGCACGTAATGGGGAGCCAGGAGGTTGCCAGACAGAACAGCACTGTGGGTGGGTGTGCGGGCTGGACTACACACAGGAGGCTGGAGAGCAAAGTTCTGAGCTCAGGCTGTTGGGGGTACAGGGGAGGCCTTTTCATTGTGTCTTCTTAACTCTTGCATGCCCACCTTCATCTCCATCTTGCCATCCTGCTACCCGCCAGGTCTCCACCACCATCATCTCTGGCCTAGAAGGCCATGGCAGCCTCCTCGTTGGGCTTCCCATCTCCCCTCCACCCCCACTTCACAGACCATTCACTGTAAGGGAACAAATGGGGCTTTTAAAACAATGCCGTGGTGACCATACCCCTCTGGCTAAGCAGCACCATAATGCCTTCAGCATCAAGATCAGGTTTGATTTCTTGGCTTGGCATCCAAGGCCCTTAGCAGTTAGCCCCCATTCCCAGTATGTGCAGCCTCCTCTCCCTGAAACACATACCAGTTGACCTGGGCTACTCAGAACCTCTGTCACCCACCTCTTCGCCTGCCTTGTCCCCTCTTCCACTGCAGAAATGCCGCCTCAGCCTCTGGGTCACCTTTCACAATCTTTGTTCTCAGTGCCCTGCTATTGGTGGCTCTTCAGCTCATTTCAGTGGCTACTGGGAAGCTGCTCTGTGGCAGGTGCTGGGGATGGTAAAATACCCCCTGGCTGATGACAGCACCCAGGTCAAGGGCAGGTGGAGGCCTGAAACTGGGAGGGTCCCAGCTCCTGCTGCCAGCTGCACCCCCACCATCACCTTTCACCCCCTCCCTGCACCTGCCTCCTCACCTTCCTCCCACCTGTGCTGGTGACTCATCTGCACTTATTCAAACCTGTCCCGGGGTCTGGTCCAGTGCCAGGCCAGGTGCTGTAGACACAGCAACCATCTCGGTGGCTGCTGCTGTCCTCCAGCTTTGAGAAACATGCACACCAAGTCCTCTACACAGCCTCTGAGAGATAGGTGGGCAGACCCGAGTCCTACTCATTCCTGGACCTCCCTAGGAGGCACCCAGAGAATTCAGCTGAACTCACGGGGCAGAAAAGCAGCCTCAGCGAAGGGGAAGGTACAAGTTGCTGCGGTTGTACCCTGGCTTGTGGATGGAGGTGGCAGACTAGCAGGTCTAGCTCTGTCCACAGGGGAGCGCCCGCAACCAGGCAACGAAGTGATCCGGAGGGTCTTTTGTGGTTGGTTCGACCAATCTCTTGAGAGGATGGCTGAGGGCATGCAGCCAACTCACAACTGAAATTCCGGCGGTCAGAAACAAGCACAGATGGGTGAGATGAATTTCAATCAATGCATATTTGGTCTTCTGAGATTGTATCATCAGGCCAGTATTTCCCGTTGTAACTGAGAAATACAAGTCAGTAGGCTCCTTGATTCTTTGCTTGGTAAATTAAAAAAAAGGGTTCTCCCCTGGCAACCTACCTTCCGGAAGTTACAACTCTTCCCCGTTTTCCATCTCTCTGTCTCTGTATAACAAGGAATCATAGTGACGCTTCACTCATCTTCAGATTCATCTAATCTGTACAATAGTGCACTATGTACTTTAACAATTACTTGTCATTGCCAGAATCCTATTTTCAAACCTCCCTAGTTATTTTTAATCTTCTTGCTTTTCCCAGCACCACCTTCAGAGGCTTCGTATTTTATGTCTGTACCTGATAATAAACCTGAAGTCCCAGGGATCTAAATCGTTTATTGTTCCTGCTTACTCTTGCTCATAGTGGCCCATTTCCTTGGATGCTTAGTAATTGGTTTGGACCATTTATAATTAATTGGTTGATATCCAATGTTGTTTTTTTAGTATTTTGGTATTTTTCTCCAGAGGATTTGCATTTTTGCTTCTGCAAGACACCAGGAGATACTACAAGCCTAGAATCATCTTGATTTCTCAGGCCAGGAAGTCTTTAGCCTCTGGAGTAATGAAAATCTGAACCTCAGCCCCTGGAGAGCACAGACAGGAGTGGTCTTTTTCTTTCCTCCATCAAGGCAGAGAGGGATGTTTGCTGCTCAGTACCCTTTGCAGACAGGCCGATTTTCCCTGCTTACCTTTCCACTGAGGCCAAAGCTGGAGTGACCTGGCTTCTTGGAGAGGTCCCAGTTGTGTGTCTCCATTTTCTACAGGCTCAAAAGTCTGAACACATTCCTCCTAGAGGCAGTTAATCCCTCACTCTCTACTTCTGGGTTTCTTTTGCTCCCAAGCATCACGTTTCCTCTTCTGTATTGGACTACCTCTGTGGGTTCTGTTTACTCTCATTTTTCCCTAGCCCTTCAGGATTTCCTATACTTTCTCATCTGTGACCACAGCAATGCAGCCACATTCTTTAGAATTTACCTGGCAGCTGGGTGAATTATGGTAATGGCAAATTTTTTGCTCTGTCATTTCTAAAGCAAATTTAACAGTATTTTACTGTATAATCACTTGAGTCCCTGGGATCTTTTTTCCCAGAGCTAAGGCAGACTGGATTGCTGACTTGTCTACAAAATGTGCTTTTGTGCTAGGCTGACAGTCACAAGGCTGAGACCCGGTAATTTCCAAGCAGTGGACTGCAGTACCGGGCAGCTACCGAGAAAGAACGACAGTTGACACTACCTGTATAAAAGAGCATACAGCTATGGTCCCACCTTGCCTTCTGGGACCAAGGCCACAGCCCAGCCTTTCTCCCCACCCTGAGATCTAGCAACCAACACCTCCCTTCCCATTTTGGGGGCCTGTGAAACCCGTGGTGCCAACAAACCTCTTCGGCAAGGTTGCTTAGTAGGTCTAGGCCAGAGGTCGGGGGTGGGTATTCAGATGGTAATGTGGCCAGGGCCTTGAGAAGTGAGGTCTCAGGTCCCTGACTGTCAAACTGGACTGAAAGCCTCCGTACACACAGGTCTCCCTACACCCATCTGTCATGTCACAGCTGGTTAAACCACCTCAGAACCATGGAAATACTACCCAGATCTGTTGGAGGCTTGGCAAGCTAGTGGGCTTTCAAAGGAAAGCAGTGTGAACGCATGTTTCAAGGATCCAAGAAATTTTTGGTTTGAGTTTGGAAAACTATCCCAAAGAAATCATGCAAAGGAAGATGTTCACTTCAGTATGCTGGACATGAAAAACCTGAAAGCAATCCAATTGCCCAACAGGAGGTAAAGAAGAAAATTATGGCCTCGATTAAATTATACAACTGTTAGGCAAATAAATGTGAAGGCAATAATGAAGTTATTTATGCTTTAACATCAGGGTAAAAAGGATGTGAAAACATTCACAAGTCTGGGTATATTAAACATTTTAAGGAAATACCTAAGAGTTACTAGAAGAAAATACCTACAAGCCCACTATCCTAATTTTCAAACTTTCTGTGGTTTTCTTAAGAGATCACTTAATGGTGAATAAGGTCATCAAGCCTTGGGAGTGTGTCTCTAAGCTGTTGGGACTTGACTGCAGATGTACTGGGTGGGCAGGTAAAGCCGCAGGCATGAGCAGCTAGCCTTGTTGGGCCTGGGCCCCTCTGCTGTTTTCCAGAGGTCCAGCAGCTGGAATCACGTCCTTATCAGAAAGTACCTCCTGCTTTCATTCTCCTGGGCGCTTGTCAGGCCCCAGCAAGGCCAAGCTGGTAGGAGGAGGAGGGGACACACAAACCTGCCGGCAGGGTGCCTTGCAGTGTCTACACCACCTTCCCTCCCAGTCCCATTCCAGCTTAAGTCAGAAAAGGAATATAGCCTTTTTATTGACTACTTTTAAGTAGAACAAACTAAATACATATTTAACAGTTTTGGTTCATTTATACAGTACATTAAATAAGTTATGCACAGAGTTAAGTAACAAAAGTTCCTATCCGAATAAAATGACAAAGCACAGAAACACCGGACTCTACCGCATCCTGTGGGTGGTTTCACATTCATCATCCGCCTTTAAAAATCACACTTAATTTTCAACTTATTTACAGTATTGGCTTTATGGATGGAGCTTTTGTAGCCTCATCTGGAACCTGGAAAGCCATGAAAGTGGACTGAAGGCCTCTTAGCCAAACAGCACTTTCACCCATTCACCTAATGCCTATTGCTGCTTCTCTCTGCCAACTCCAATGCGGGAAGGCTGTCCCTGCCAGCCAGCCGCACATGCCCTATTTGGTTTAAGCATCAATGAGTGTACACTGGGCAGTCATGAGCCTGACCAGATGAGCTCTGCAGGAGCAGCACCATCTCTGGGGCTGTGGAGGGGAAGTGGGGATGCAAGGCTCATGATGGAAAAGGTCACCCACACCTTCATCTTTGGAAATGAGCATCTCAGTGCACCTGGGCAGAGAGGCAGGTAGTCAACGTTTTGGTTTCACAGAACTATAGACACTGTCGTTCAGAGCCTGCCCGGTGCCCCACCCCTCCCCATTCCAGGCCGGACTCCTCCTCGACAGCGGGCCACCTGGCCTGAGCTCGAACAGCACAGGGGCCTCTGGCTTCTCCATTTGGTTCAAGCATACCACACCATCCAGTTTTCTGTAAATAGGTAAAAAAAAAAAAAAAGAAACCAGTTCTGAAGAAAGCCTCCAAGATGTATTCTATTTTAAATGATTTATTCAATCCATAATCTCTTCTACAGTTCCCAGGACAACAGCATCCTGTCATTATTCATGCTTTCATTCTGAAGCCCTTACCACCACACAGTGCTTCATCTGGACAAGACCTTGGCAACCACCAAATGCACTGAGCCTCCAAATGCACTATCTTCTGAACTACCCAGACAAGGTCTATACCCTCTGCAAGCAGGTGAGGGCACTGGGAATCAGGTCAACTTTGGGACAAGGCCATACAAAATAAAGCGTAGATTTTCTGTCTAGAAGCTGAAGATGCTCACATTGATGCCAAGAAGTGAGGCTTTCCTGGTAGGCCAATGGGTCCAGATGGGCAAAGGACATGCTATACTGCAGAGGGCACACTGCAGCCAATGTCGGACACGGGCCTGTGCTGGGTAAATGTGTCGTTTCCAGACTTAGAGCCATTCAGAGACATACATGACTCAACACTGTCCAAGGCCAGATCCACTCTGTGACCTCAGGGTCACGACTGTGCCTGAACAGATGTGCTAGAGCCCCCCTGGAGCTTCAGGGACCCTCCAAAGTGGAGCACTCACACCTCATCAGGTGGGCTGCCTATTCTTGAGCAGGTGAAATTAACCAACTTCTTCCCCAGTCAGCTTTCACCTATGCATGAAAGCAGGTACAGGTGGGCAGTGGGGATCCAAAGGACGACTGAAGACAGTAAGATCCAGCCTCAGGCACCCTTGGAACACTTACAGACAGCTCCCATTTTGGTCACTTTTACATGTCTCTGGTTCCTGCAGCCATTCCTCACTGGGCAGAGGACAATGATGTCTCATCACTCAGTGTCCCTCGGTGGGTGATGCTGAGCCCCAGCCTCCTCCAGGTGTGCTCTGAGGGGTGGGCAGGCAGGTGTCACACTTGTTTTGGTTTCTAGTGTAACCCTGAAGAGCCTGTGATGGCCCTGCCACCTCCTCCACTACCACCACTCCAAGCCCTGTTTTTTTGGTTCCCCATAAAGGCTGGTCCTCTCAGCAGCTAGATGAAGATATTTTCAATCTGACTAGATGATGTGGGAAGCCTGAACTTGCACCCTCAACCTGGTACCTGGGGTGGTGTCAGCAGACAATGGAACCAAGTAGGAAACCAGGACATACCCCTGATCTTTCAGCCTCCCTGAGCCACCCCAAGACAATGCCCCCTCTCCTCCTCACAACCAGAGAGTTGGGGATTTTCAGAAAGGAGGGAGCTAAAGAAAGGGATTCTTTAAATCTGATACCCTAGCAACATGTGTGAAATTGACCAAATTAACCCAATGAGGTTTGAGCACTGAACTGGTATGGCATGCTGCCCAGGTTTTCAGCTTTGCCTCTAGGTAGCCCATTAGCAAAACAGTCTAGAAGAGCATTACAGAAACTCTTAAAACTAACCTGTCATGATGGGAAATACAGCCCACAAAAGTCAGCTAGCACCTGCACCTTAAATGCAAACTTTAGCTGAAGTAGTAATTGAGCCCTGATGAGTAGTATTTTTTCAGTTTTGGCTCTTTATTCCGACCAGGAAAAACGAGAGTTGTCCTGGCTAGTCCTGTGGCCACTAAAGATTTGAAGAACCTGCCTGGGTATTTATTCAACTTGCTGAGGAAAAGACAGTGAGCTGAGGACTGACCCAGTGGACATCAGGAAACCACCTCTTGCTATAATTAACTGATTTATAGTGTTTGTGAAATCCTCATGGGACATCTAACTCATAAGGAAACATAGGTAAGTCCTGTCTATGATACTGACTTCATCCCTGTTAAAGTCAGGGACAACCCCCAACTGCTACACTTTAAGGAGCTCCTTAATACAGTAACACTAGTCTGGTTTTTTTTCTCTGGGTATACCACACTTTATGAAATGGAAATTCAGATATTTTAAAGATGCTTTGTACTGAGTTTCTTTCAAGATAGGAAATCCTTGGATAAGGTAAATTAGGGACTTAAAAGTTCAAGTAGGACACACCTATATGCAAGGGCTACCTATGCTGACCCCTTTCCGACATGGGACTGAGAACTTTTATTTCACTCTGGTCAGTGCACAGAAACTAGCCATTTAAAGCTGGGCTTTCAAGGGCCAGCAGGAGAAGGGCCAACAGAATCACCCTGACGGATTACTTGGGGCAAGAGGGTGCTGGAGGCTTTGAGGTGGAGAGTGGGAGAGTCAGGGTCCTTGGGTGCCCAACAAAACCCGAATGGCAGAGAATGTGTGTGGCAATTTCTAACATTTAAAAGGGGTACAGGTGATGTCATGTTTGGAGAGCCAGGTAAGCTGCTGGAAAACTCCCTAAAGATGGGCAGAAAAATTGGTCAGCCTCCCTCAAAATGGTTGTAGCATTTCATAGAACTTTCCTGAGCTCAAATAGGGAAAATATCAAATAGGTAACACAAGAAAAGGTAAACTGAGATTTTACGCCTGATGATAAACTGACACAGTATGTATAATGGTGAGGTTTGAAGAATTCTTTTGGTCTAGGAGGGCTGCTCATATATAACCAGGCCTTGACTGGTGAGGCAAGTCCTAGTCACACATCCCATCCCATGGGACAGCTATGGCTTAAGAGGTGCCAAAGAGACCATGGGAAGGTGATCCACACGATGATCTAGACATGCATGGGATGAGATGAAGTGACACAGAACAAGTCTGTGCCAATAGCCAAGCGGTGATCAAAGGTTCTGCATTTCTAAGAGATGATCCATCCATTCAGTAATTTGATGATATTAGTTTGGCCAACATGCTCAGAGAGAAGAAACTATCCACAATTGAGTCTCTTTCTCCCTCAGACCAATCCATGTGCTTGAAACTATTTTCTGCACAAGCAAAATCAAATAAGAGAGAAAAAAAATGGGTTCCAAACTAAAGTAGCAAACCAGGTTGGAAAATCTTGTCCAAAATGATTTGTGATGCTTGGTGGAAGTTTTATTTATTTTTTATTATTACAGGTGCTTTTGCTAAAGAGGTGACTTCTTTCTTGTGATTTCTGATAATCTTAACAAGTCTGAACAGCAGAGTTGAGGAGGGAGTCCTGAGTGCTGCTTTTTGCCTGCCCAAGTCCTGGTGGGGCCAATCAGTGGCATCAGCTGAGGGTGGAAATGGGGCTTCAGAAGCGGCTGGGGGTGAGAGGGGCCTTCCCGACAGCCTGCTGTCAGCCTCCAGGCCTCTGCTGTGGGAGGACGGTGGAGTAGGAGGCAGTGTGGGGAGCTGATGGTTTACACTGAAAAGGACCTGGCCATGCCAGCCTCAGCTGGGATGGGAACAAACCAAGAAGCCATGGAGGAGGAGCTCCAGCCAGCTGCCTGTGTGCAGAGCGAATGGCATACTAGTTCCTCCAAGGACACAGACGGGAAGCTGGGGCAAGTGTCTGGAGAGGCTGTGATGCACGCAGTGTTTGATTGCTCTTCTCTTGCCTCCACTCCACTTCTTGCTGATGAGCCAACAGCTACTTGTCAGGGTTCAAACAGCCAGCCTATGCTTTTCATTCCATAAGCTCATCAGGGGAAGCGAATCTGGGGCTCAGAGTCCATTGGTGTCGATGGCAGTCACAGAGGCAGGTGTTGAGGAGCGTGAGGTGGTTGCCGAGGTCTTGTCCAGGTTTGGGCTTGGCACACTGCAGTCGGTGGACCTGGCTGAGGAGCCCCTCCCTCCAGGAAGCAAAGGCCGGCTCTGGCCGTGGGGACTCTGGCCATGCAGGTTCTGGCCACAGAGGCGGTGGTGCCGCTCCCAGTCCTTGTGCTGGCAGAAAGAGCCGCAGTACCGGGCAATGTTGCAACCACTGCAAGTCTCGCTGGCTTTGCGGCCACAGTTCCAGCAGTTCTGCAAGACACACAGGCATGGTTAGTGGCTTGCATCTTGTGGGACAGGTCAGCCATCACTCATCACCCACACTGTAGAAGAAGGGGCTGTATGGGGCAGCATGTGCTTTGGAGCTGCACAACCCTGGGCTTGTCCCGCCACCACAGCCATCTGTCTATGTGCAGGAAATACACACTCCTCTCTGCATTTCCTTCCTTCCAGTAAAACAGGTCACTTACTGGCCATGGCTGGCAGGGCACAGGGTGAGGGTCTGTGAAAACACACACACAGCTGCTGGGAAAACAGGAGCGTGGGTAGTTGTGCTACTTCCTCTGTGCCCACTCTCCTTTCAGTGATGTGCTTCTCACCGGCGGAATGGGAAGCAAGGGGTCACCCCAGATACACTGCAGCACTAAGAGCCCAGGAGGTCTCCCTACTACTCTGTGTACTCCCTGGAGAGCAGGCAGGCACCGCTAAGGTTTGGCAGGAACCAGTGGAGGCAGAGAGACGGGGGGTGGGGTGGGGGAAGCAGGCTGGCTGAGGAAGCACTAATTCTGTAACATAAGATGTCAGCAAGTGAGGCTTGGTTAGAGCTCCAAATAAGTAATGAAAGAAGCAGTAGAAACAGTGGTTGAACGGACGTTACCCTTCCAAAGCAACGAAGGAAAGCTAGCCTCATGAGGCAGCAAACACTGATGCAGCCCCCACCTGCCCCTTGGGTGTTCTCTTTGCTGGAGTCACAAGAGTGTTCTGTACCCAAGGTCTCCAGGAGCCCCACCACCCCCGTCACAGGAGAAAAGCCTATGGCATTGGCCAGGTAAAGCTATCAGGAAAAGGCAAGGCTTTCTGAAGTGCCAGGAAGGACTCGAGCAGCCTGTCAGCTCCTCCCCCACCCAAGTCCTCCACAGTGGCAGAAGCCAATCACAAGGCTCAGCCTGACCACTCTGTAGTCCCCTCCGGGAAGAAAGACAATGCCCCCAACAAAATCTGGATGCTTACTCAGGTAGAAAACAACAGAAAACAAGGGCTGAAAGGACTTGGGGTCTCTTGGCCCACTGCCTGCTTGTACAAATGTGACACTGAGAGCCAGACGTAGGGGACTTGATCAGGGCCACATGGCTCTGCAGAGTCGGGAACCCAGGCCTCCGGACTCCAATGCATTCCTGGTAAAAGTTTGGTTTCAAAGAGCTAAAATCCTTTAGAATGGACCGAGACTCCTCCTCACACAACAGCCTTCTCAAGAAATACACTCTAGGGAATGCCCAAAATTGCCAACACGAATACCAGAGCATGAAAATAGGGAATAGGAGTATTCCTTAAGTTACATTTACAGATCCTCAAGCAAACTGCATTCCAGTGAATTTCATACTTTTGAGTTGGACAGGCTGACTGCAAACAATGCTTTCAGAACATTATCATTTGGAGGGAAAAACTCAGTTATTGCCGATATGGGGCCGCTGTGGAAACACAGGCCAACAGGTCAGTTCCGACCAAATGGGAGAGCCTTTACGCCCCTGCCTGAGGCTGCAGGGGCACCGCAAGCTGGGCCGGAGCATCAAACCACTGGTACTTTCACCTTGGTGCCACTGTATTTAAAATAGTATTTCATGATTCATGAGATACAATAAAACAAGATAAATAGCCTCCTCCAGAGGCAGGATCGGAGAAATGCAAGAACATGGTTAGTGTCAAGCAGCCAGGGTGAAAAGGACACTTCACGTCCTCTCTCCTTGTGGCTTTTCCCTGACTTAACTATGAGGCTTTTTGCCAAGATATAAAAGACAAAAGGTTTACTGTCATAGTCACCCTTCAAACCAGCATTCCTCAAAGCTGGAGCAACACACATGGCCAGACTCCCTCATAGTTAATGGGAGAAGGTACAAACCTTCTGAACTACTGGCCAAGAAATCAGCAGTAGGATTCCACATTTTCCTGTCAAGCATGATATACAGGTATACAGGTTTTCCCCACTAGCCGAAAGCACAGTGTTCTTATGAAACTTTGTGAGCCGAAACGGCCTAAAGCAAAGAACCAATTACCATTCATTTGTATGGAAAGTTTTCGAGCATTTCCAAAAAATAACCTCTTGCAGACTTTTCTGACACCTTAGGACACATCTTGCTAACGGCTGCACAAACTAAATCAAGATAAAGTCCAGATGCTGACACAGTTCAAGGCTATGGCAGCTTGAGGCTGATGCTGAATGTGGTTCCTGGGGAGAAGCTTGGCAGGGCCCCCTCACTGCAAAACAAATGCTGAATGCTATTTTTACTTTTTGTGTTTTTTTATGCAAGTGAAAATCCTCTCCGGATTTTTTTTGGTTAGTGAAAACAAGTACCAATGTAGGTCCTTTCATAAAAGTGAAGTGGTGTAACAAACTTTCAAAAAGCAGGGGATACCTGTACTCCATATGTGGCCTGGGGACCATCTGTATCTGAACAACTGGAACTCGTCAAAATCCCAGACCTCCCCGACCTTACTGCAAAACTGGCCCAAAGAAGAGATGACTGGCCATCTTACAGTCAACTGCTAGCCCATTATGTTTGTCCGGAAATCCAGGTTGGGGACAGAAGGTACCCTGTAGCAGGGATGACCGGACCTCTTACACCATTCCCTCTATCTAAAGCATTACAGGTGAGACAGCTGGGTCTGGCAGGAGAGGAGGCAGCTGTTTTCCAAGAGCAGGAGCTACCATACCACTGCTTACACATGTATGTTGTTAACAACACAGCAAAACCCTTTCCATCTGCACAGTGTAATACAGTTTAAAAACACTTCCACCACCATGATCTAATTTTATCTTCCTAAAAATGAAGGTATCAGCAGGACAGGGGCTGCTACATATCCACAATAAAGAGAAGGAAACTGACTCCTTAAAGATACATATCAGTATGAGGGGGACCTGCGACCAGAACTCAGGGTTCCTAACTAACCTCAGTCTTGGGCTCCTTCCTCTATAAACAACCACCTCTCACAGGATGAATGAGAAACTCCAGGTATATCTGCTAGACTTCAAGTAGAATTTTCTGGATGCAATGAAGGGAATCAGCCCTTCTGGTTGAATGCCAACTTACACAAAGCTATCCCTCCTGTTTGGAAAAGAAAGTTTGCTGGGCAGATGTTGGTATGTGCCTCACCTACAGGCCACTTTGTGCACTGTTTAAAATTACAGCTCCTTGTAAAGCACAATCCCATATATGAAGGGCTGGGATTTAAACCATGTAGTCCAGATCCAGAATTCATGCTCTTAGCCAAAATGTCACACTCCCTTGGAGAACTGTTTATCTAGATAAATAGATATAAATGTAGATAAATAAGGACAAATAGATATTGACATGGATGGCTTGATACATAATTAAAAACACACAACAGAAAGATACCACTGCTCAAAAACAATTCCAAAGAAAAAGTAGGAGGGGAGAAGGAAAAGGGGAGGGTTAAAGGAACTGTCTTCTCACAATTCAGTGTGTTTGTTGGAGTGCGAGAATACGGAATTTTTCCACATCCACTGTGATGGCCAAATCATGGGCATTTCATCTTCATGTTGCCATGCTTAGCATTGCTATACTGAAAGGGATCATTTAATAGGATGAGAAGGTCAAATTTCTCTTGTTTAAAAAAACAAACCAAGTTCTGTGTAACTTCAGAGAATGTCCTGAAGACAGCTGATCTCTTAACCAGCAGATAGGAATCTACCTTCCTAAAAAACAGGATTGTTCAATCTACAGATTCATGCAATCCCTAAAATTTTCAATGAACTAGAACACACAGTTCTGAAATTCATATGGAACCAGAAAAGACCCCAAATAGCCAAAGCCATCCTGAGAAAGAAGAACAAAGCTGGGGATATGGCAATCCCTGACTTTAAGGTATATTACAAAGCTATAGTGATCCAAACAGAATGGTACTGGCACAAGAACAGACCCACAGATCAATGGAACAGAACAGAAAGGCCAGATAGTAACCCATGCACATACAGTCAATGAGAATATAATAAAGGAGCCATGGATGTACAATGGGGAAAAGACAGCTTCTTCAACAACTGGTGCTGGGGAAACTGGACAGTTACATGTAACACAATGAAACCAGATTATTGTCTAACTCCATATACAAAAGTAAACTCAAAATGGATAAAAAACCTGAATGTAAGACAATGAAATCATAAAACTCCTAGAAAAAAAGACAAAAATCTCTTGAATGTAAGTATGAGCAATTTTTTCCTGGACACATCTCCTCAAGCAAGGGAAACAAGATTAAAAATGAACAAATGGGACTACATTTAACTAAAAAGTTCTGTATAGCAAAGGAAACCACCAGCAGAACAAAAAGGCATCCTACAGTATGGGAGAATATATTCATAAATGACTCATCAAGGGGTTAACATCTAAAATATATAAAAGAGCTCATATGCCTCAACACCAAATAAACAAATAACCTGATTAAAAAATGGGCAGAGGACCTGAACAGACATTTCTCCAAAGAAGAAATATGTATGGCGAACAAGCACATGAAAAGATGCTCCACAACACTAATCATCAGGGAAATGCAATAAAACCACTATGAGATACCACCTCAAGCCAGTCAGAATGGCTACTATCCAGAAGACAAGAAATAACAAGTGCTGGCGAGGATGTGGAGAAATGGGAACCCTCCTGCTCTGTTGGTGGGAATGTCAATTGGTACAACTGCTGTGGAAAGCAGTATGGAGGTTCCTCAAGAAACTAAAAATAGAAATACCATTTGACCCAGTAATTCCACTTCAAGGAATTTACCTGAAGAAAACAAAATCCCTGAGTCAAAAAGATGTATGTATCCCTATGTTTACTGCTGCATTATTTACAACAGCCAATAGTTGGAAGCAAACTAAGTGTCCATCAACAGATGAATGGATAAAGATGTGGTACATACACACAATGGAATATTAATCAACCATTAAAAAAAAGAAAGAAACCCTGACATTTGCAACAACATGCATAGATCTAGAGGGTATTATGCTCAGTGAAATAAGTCAGGAGGAGAAAGACAAATACCGTATGTTATCACTTATTTGCAGAATATAAAAACAAAATAAAACAATAAACAAAACAGTAGTAAACTCAAGAGACACTGAGAAGTGACTAGTGATTACCATGGGGAAGGGGTTGGGTTGGGGTGCATGGGTGGGTCTGAGGGGGATAAAGGGGCACAAAAATTCTCAATTATAATGTAAGTTGTCACAGGGACAGTAGAACAGCACAGAGAATATAGCCAATGATTCTGTAACATCTTCCTATATTGAAAGATAGTAACCACACTAATGGGGGTGGGGATTTAATAATATGGGTAACTGTTGAACCACTGTGTTATACATCTGAAACCAATATAAGATTGTATATCAATACTTCAATTAAAAAAAAAATAGGCTTGTTACAGGACTTAAAGTTTATCTTAAAGCCAAAAAATGATTAAAATGAAAGTTCATTTCATTACATTCAAAAGGGCTATTATGATGTTTCTGTCATATATTTTTTCTTTCAATTCATTCACTTTTATCTTCATCATGGCACAAGAGTGTCCTGTACAGTTATCACCAAGTTCTGGGCCTTGGGTCGTGGAGAGCAGGCAGATCTGTCTCATTCACCACTTCAGTCCATAAAAGAACATTCCTATTTATAAACAGACCAGATGCATCTCCTTACTCCTGCACTCCTTGGCTTCAGCAGTGTGGGATTATGCCAGTTAAATTCCCTAAGTTACAGCTTTCCTCATTTGTAAAACTAGAAGCAAACAATACCTACCTCATAGGGTCACTGTGAGGATCAAAAAGACCACACATACACCGCTCCACGTCTAGCACACCATGAGCCCACTCAGTCAGTGGTGGTCATCATCATCACATGATTCCACAAACTCTGCCCTTAGGATTAATTTTCAAAATTTGAGCCAACATATTTAAGAATGTAGTATGATGATTGACAAACTTCTCTGGCACTGGATAAAAATTATAATTATCTAGTTCAAGAATGGACTGTTGAGACTTACTATTTGACCCAGGAATTCCACTCCTAGGAATTTACCCTAAGAACGCAGCAATCAAGTTTGAGAAAGACAGATGCACCCCTAGGTTTATCGCAGCACTATT